GTGGTTTGATGTAAAATGCTCCGTCCTCGGGAAAATGAGTCAGAATTGTTAACAACAGTTGCAATAGCAACCAGATGTCTGAAGAGTTTAATGCCTCTAAAAGCTTGTCCAAGGAAAGACATCACATGAAACTGTTGTGAATAAACTACAGTGGTGTGAAAAAGTGTTTGCCCCCTTCCTGATTTCTTATTCTTTTGCATGTTTGTCACACTTAAATGTTTCAGATCACCAAACAAATTTAAATATTAGACAAAGATAGCACAACTAAACACAAAATGCAGTTTATAAATGAAGATCTTTATTATTAAGGGAAAAAGAAACCCAAACCTACAGGGCCCTGTGTGAAAAAGTAATTGCCCCCTAAACCTAATAACTGGTTGGGCCACCCTTAGCAGCAACAACTGCAATCAAGCGCTTGTGATAACTGGCAATGCGTCTTTTACAGCGCTGTGGAGGAATTCGGGCCACTCATCTTTGCAGAATTGTTGTAATTTAGCCACATTGGAGGGTTTCCGAGTATGAACCGCCTTTTTAAGGTCATGCCACAGCATCTCAATCGGATTCAGGTCAGGACTTTGACTAGGCCACTCCAAAGTCTTAATTTTGTTGTTCTTAAGCCATTCAGAGGTGGACTTGCTGGTGTGTTGTGGATCACTGTCCTGCTGCAGAACCCAAGTGCGCTTCAGCTTGAGGTCACGAACAGATGGCCAGACATTCTCCTTCAGGACTTTTTGGTAGACAGCTGAATTCATGGTTCCATTTACCACAGCAAGTCTTCCAGGTCCTGAAGCAGCAAAACAGCCCCAGACCATCACACTACCACCACGTTTTATTGTTGGTATGATGTTCCTTTTCTGAAGTGCTGTGTTTCTTCTACGCCAGATGTAACGGGACATATACCTTCCAAAAAGTTCAACTTTTATCTCGTCAGTCCACAGAGTATTCTCCCAAAAGTCTTGGGGATCATCAAGATGTTTTCTGGCAAAACTGAGACGAGCCTTTATGTTCTTTTTGCTCAGCAGTGGTTTTCGTCTTGGAACTCTGCTATGCAGGCCATTTTTGCCCAGTCTCTTTCTTATGGTGGAGTCATGAACACTGACCTTAACTGAGGCAAATGAGGCCTGCAGTTCTTTGGATGCTGTTGTGGGGTCTTTTGTGACCTCTTGGATGAGTCGTCGAGGCGCTCTTGGGGTAATTTTGGTCGGCCGGCCACTCCTGGGAAGGTTCACCACTGTTATATTTTTTTGCCATTTGTGGATAATGGCTCTCACTGTGGTTCACTGGAGTCCCAAAGCTTTAGAAATGGCTTTATAACCTTTTCCAGACTGACAGATCACAATTACTTTGTTTCTCATTTGTTCCTGAATTTCTTTGGACCGCAGCATGATGTCTAGCTTTTGAGGATCTTTTGGTCTACTTCACTTTGTCAGGCAGGTCCTATTTAAGTGATTTCTTGATTGAGAACAGGTGTGGCAGTAATCAGGCCTGGGTGTGGCTAAGGAAATTGAACTCAGCTTTCCAAAGATGTGATAAACCACAGTTAATTTATGTTTTAACAGGGGCAATCACTTTTTCACTTTTTCTTTTTCCCTTAATAATAAAAATCTTAATTTATAAACTGCATTTTGTGTTTATTTGTGTTATCTTTGTCTAATATTTAAATTTGTTTGGTGATCTGAAACATTTAAGTGTGACAAACACTAAAGAATAAGAAATCAGGAAGGGGGCAAACACTTTTTCACACCACTGTACCTGATATCTGAGAGATTACTTTATGTTTGCTTTAAAAAGGTTTTGGCTTAAAACTATTTTTAAAGCCCATTCATGGCAAAGAGGTGCATGCAGGACGCTGTATGGCAAAACAGTACCTGAAGAAAATGTATTTTTTCAGATTTAACACCATATTTCCTTGTTTAAAAATTGAAAATTCCTGTCATCAGAAATTCGACTGCAATTTTTTCTAAAATACACATTTCACATTAAACCACTCTTTACAACTTAGTGAGTGAATTATACAGAAAATTTGAAATATCTTCTTTAAATGAAAGGCAGCAGAAATCAGTAATGGAACATATCATCCATCGAGTATTGTACACAAGTAGCCTTCTCAAGGATGTGGAATGTTCAGCACTTTTTCCACCGTTGCCAGAGATGCTGTGTTAGTTAACTGAGCTAAGAGCTCTACATGAGATCACATATGGCCTTCTCTATATTTACATGCTCTGTATGACTAAGCAAGTCCACTTTGGGTGTGGCTTTGAACAGCCTACCTGTGAGTGTACCACTGAAGCTGTGTCCAGAATTTAGGCAGGAGGGTAACTACAGTCATTTAAGAGCAATATTATAAAGAAGAAACTCAACAGCTTATGCACAAATTCAGTTGGATTGTCTGGATGAAGCCAGAATATTAAGCACTATAGCGCAAAGTGGTCACCTTATAATGCTTTCCCTCTTTATGAGAAGCTCTGTGAATAGAATAGCATAGCATAGCATAGCACAACATGACTCAGCTGGCTGACTGTTGCTAATGACTTTTCAAACTGAAAGCAAAAAACTTTGAAGCCGGGAGAAAACTATTTTCTTTGCCTTGTGGTGTATAAGCCACGCCTGTGGTAATACATGTTCTTTCTCTGCTAAAACTCCACTGCATTCCACACAAGTATTGACTGTCTAATAGCAACAGGAACACCTCAGTCATTACTCTATTTAACAGACTTGATTTATGGCTAAACTTAAAATGTAATCATTTTGTTGTGGACATGCTCATTCATCTCCTACAGTGGTGCCTCAGCAGATTTCAAAGCAAGATTTTCCAGTTTAAACACTAGAAAACACCCTTCTGATGAAGAATGTTGAAGGTGGGAGGAACTTCTGACAAGCTACAACTGCTTTGGTGTGGATATTTGAGGGTCAGTGGATAGATTTTTTGGTTTTTCTGGTTGCTGACTAATGTAGAAGGAAATCAGACAGCTAGATAATGTTACTGCTAAGAAGCCCAGTATTATGCCTGTATTTATTAACCTCTAAATCTGTGGTGACGCTAGCAGTATCGTAGTTGGGGGGATTCTCGATGGTTGTACACAGCAAAGCATTATGGGCACTGTAGTGAGAGAACACTGATTGATTAAAAAAAATGGATACAACAAAAGTGTTAATTGATGAGGCTCAGGGACGCAATACTTTACTACAGAATATTACATGACAGTTTTAAGCCAGAATGTCCCTTTGAGGAATCCAGCTTTGCAAAATAACGTTACTCCCTCTCCTGTGTGTAAATAATGTGCATATTAACTCATACATGTGGTAATGTATGTTCTTTTTCTGTCGTTAAAGCCCCTTAAATTAAAAAGAGCATTTCTGGGCCCTACGACAGAAGGGATTTCTCACTAACCTGGATAACTTATAGGGGAACTCCATTGAATTTTCAACAATTCTACACAATCAAATGGTTGAGATGTAAACAAAGTCATTCAGAGTGGTTTGGTGTGAAATCCTCCATTCTAGAGAAACTTGCCAAGTCAGAACTGTTCACAGTGGTGATAGGAACCAGATGTCTGAAGAGTCTGATGTCTCTAAAAGCACCTTCACAGAAACCTATGCCATGAAACAGTTAGATATATGCTGCCTGATGACTGACACACTATTTTATGAATGTTTTGGCTTAAAATGTATTTTAATCCATTCACAGTGAACCACATGTATGGTGTTGTAAGGCAGTCCCCAAAGATAATTTTCTTTTCAGATTTAAGACTATTTTACCATCATCAACACTACATATAAAAACTCAGAAGACACTTGTAGGGTCACTGGAGGTGTTGGAGAGCAAGTAAAATGGCTATATTTGTGTTGTAACCCTTGGTTCCTGTCACCACTACTAAAGAAATCTGAGTCTGTATGATTTTCTACAATGAACCACTTCACTTCAAACCACTCTAAAATGACTCACCTCAGAGACTGAGGTATTCAGAAATTTCGAAAAATGGGTGGAATTACCCTTTAAGCCCAGGACGGTTCCTACAGCACTGTCCCCTGATTCTTCTCCTATGGGACTGGGCTGATTTTGACGTGTATGTAAATAATGTGTATATAAACTCAAAACAGAGACAATATTATGGTTCTTTTCTGTCAGTAAAGCTCCATTAAAAGCGTCCCAACCTCCTCGCACTCCTCCCTCAGCGCGTCTCGGCTCTCCAACAGCTCGCAGAACTGCTCCAGGCTCACCGCCTCTTCTCCGCGGCCGAGCCGCTCCTCCAGCCAGCGGACCAGAGCGCTCTCGTTCCTCGCCAGAACTGACTCGGACACGGCCACTACCAACTCCCCCGCCCGTCCCGCTGCCTCCCTCAGCTTCACCTGCTCCATGAGGACCTCGGGAGAGGGCAGCCCGGAGCTCGCCACGGCCGCACCGCCCGCTCCCCTCGCCGAGCCCCCTGCGCCTGCTCCTGCGGCCCCGCAGGCCGGGCTACTGCCACTACCGCCGCCGCCGCCGTCCGCGAACCCCGGGCTCTCCGCCTCCACGTCTTCCTCGTCTCCGCTGCCGGCGCCAGCAGCACCGCCACAGCCGCCGCTCTCCGCGTTCCCCATGCCGTTGTGCGGCCTCGGTGTTTATTCCGTTTCGGGCCGTTTTCCCAGAATCCACTCTCCCGAATCCTCCGCTCTCACCACCGCACCGACCGACTGACCGTTGCAGGCCGGCGACGTCACATTCGTCAGCAAACTTTGGGTCTTCCGTACGGCTCGTTGTGGAAACGCACTCCCCTTAGCGGTCTCCTCCAGTACTACCAGGGGATTTTCGATTCAGTTTACTGAACCGAATGACTGTTTCTGTATTATTACTGTGGAGATGTTCGATTCAATTTACGAAACCGATTCTTTCTTACTGCATTTTCCATGAATCGAGCTGATTCAGTGATTCATTTCCTTTCATGTGCTGTTAATGAGATTCGATTCAGTCTACGTGCCGATTCTTTAGAACTTAGCGTTTAAATGAATTGAACTATAGATTCATTTGCGCTCCCGGAAACATATAGCGATGTTAACTTTTTATGTCGGGTTAACACGGCTACCTTTTTTAAAAATAAACGTTATTCATTTATTTTTCCAGTGAGATGTTTCTCACTGCTGCAATGCGGTGTATAAATGGTTAGCACCATGCTAAAACATTTGGTTGTGCTCATTGCTGCGGGTTTAGCCCTATGGACGGCGCCTGAATGGCTCACGTTGACTTTGTATGGGAGCAGATTCTCTGGCTGGCTGTTTCAGTCCTCTGTAGACGTTTCAGCAGACTCGGGAAGGCTGCTGAGTCAAGATGAGCTCTCACTTTACAACGGGAGGGTAAACAGTAAAGGACTTTACCTCGCCATTTTAGGACAGGTGTTTGATGTTGAGAAGGGGCGCAAGCATTACGGTCCTGACGGAGGTTATCGTTTCTTTACAGGTATTCCGCCAGCACCCCCACTGAAGCCTGTCATGCTTTGATTATTAACATTAAAACACAGTGATGGAGACTGAAAAAATACTCTAAACAGTAAAACACATCCAAATAACCCTCCATAATAATGTCCACGGGTGTAAGAGCCTTCAAACCTCATGCAACTTCTACAATCAAGACCTAACTTTCTGAGAATTTTCACTCTTTCTTCCCATTACTTCTACGATCTTAAAGGGGAATTCCACTGATTTTTCAAAATATGTGCATAATTAAATGGTTAAGATGTAAATAAAGTCCTTTAGAGGGATTTGATTTGAAATGCTCTGCCCCAGAGGAACTTACCAAATCAGAATTGCTCACAGTGGCGGTGATAGGAACCAGACTTCTGTGTTTAATGTGTTAAAGTGTTTAATGCCTCTCAAAGCTACCTTACACAAAGCACTACATTATATTGTTCCGATTATGCTGTCTGGTGTCTGAGACATTGTTTTGAGGTAAGGATTTGGCCTAAAACATATTTTTAAAAGACATTCATGGTGGAGGGGTACATGTAGGGTGTTATGAGGCAAGATAGTCCTCAAAGGAAATGTATTTTTTTTCCAGATTTATTACTGTTTTACCATGATCAACATAACGTATATAAATAAAAAAAAACAGAAGACGCGTGTAGGTTTACTGGTCATTTTGGATCGCAGACCTAAATAAAGTGGCAGTTTTTGAGTTGTAGACAACTTGACCCCTGGTTCCTATCACCACCACTGTGAAGAAATCTAAGTTGGCAAGTTTTTCAACAATGAATCATGTCACATCAAACTACTCCAAATGACTTTGTTTACATCTCAATGACTGAATTATGCAGAAATTTTGAAATATCAGTGAAATTCCCCTTTAAATGGCCACTTTGGCCAAAATGAAAAATGTAACAATTGCTTCTTCTTCACCTGTGAGCATGGCAACTCACCCACTACAGTGGTGTCAGAATACTCTCGACTGAGATTTTACAGCTTAAAGAAGTCAAAACCCCTTCTGATGATGCATCTTGAAGGTGGGAGGAACTTTCAAAAATACAACTGGTTGAGGCTCTAGTATTTTTTTTCCACCACTAGCTGGCTAATGCAGAATATAGAGCTAATATTTCTCTTAGGAAGCAGAATATCATGTCTGTATTTATTAGCCTCTACATCAGTGGCTGCACTAGTAGACAGAATTTCTTTTTAACAGTGGGTGGGGATCTCAATGGTAGTATGATGTATTTGCATAATGCATGCTGGGTATTGTAGTGAGAGAACACTGATGGATGAAAAGACAAAAAGGATACAAAATCATGCATTCTGTCAAATTGATGAGGCTGAAAGATGCAATGCTCTGCTATAGAACATTACACAGCATGAATAACATTTAATGCTAGTTGTAAAATGCACCTTTAAGATAGTTGGCTCTGTATTGAGTAATATTTAGTAGCCTGGTTTGACTAGTGGAACTAGTCCTTGGATAGTCAACCAGGCAAGACCTTCTCACTGACTGAAAGCATGTTAACAGACATTCAATGAGCTGCGTGTAAGATTACCCAGGTTAAATTTCAGTTAATGTTTATCATGACAGACAAAACATACAGCCAAGCCAGACTAGGTGAGCTTTCTAGAAACCCAAGGCTGAATCTTTTACAGACTGAAATCCCTCTGGGCTTTGTTACAATATAACATCAGCAAAAGTTATTCACACAGTTTAACAGTTACTGTCAGACAGCTTTCAATGGCCAATCAATGTAATAAAACACATGTTTATGTACTTTCAGGAAGAGATGCGTCGAGGGCCTTTGTGACGGGTGATTTCAATGAGGCCGGGCTGTCGGATGATGTTTCAGACTTGTCCCCATCTCAGATAGCAGCACTCTATGATTGGCTGACTTTCTATCAAAGGGACTACACACCAGTAGGTAGGACCTGTATGTTAGCACATAGGCCAGGGGTGTCCAGTCTTATCTGCAGAAGGCCTTGTAGTTGCAGGAATTTATTCCAACAAAGCAGAAGCATACACCGATCAGGCATAACATTATGACCACCTCCTTGTTCCTGCGCTCATTGTCCATTTTATCAGCTCCACTTACTATATAGGTGCACTTTGTAGTTCTACAATTACAGACTGTAGTCCATCTGTTTCTCTGCATACTTTGTTAGCCCCCTTTTACCCTGTTCTTCAGTGGTCAGGACCCCCATGGACCCTCACAGAGCAGGTACTATTTGGGTGGTGGATCATTCTCAGTGCTGCAGTAACACTGATGTGGTGGTGTGTGTTGTGCCAGTCTGAGTGGATCAGACACAGCAGTGCTGTTGGAGTTTTTAAACACCTCAGTGTCACTGCTGGACTGAGAGTAGTCCATTAACCAAAAATATCCAGTCAACAGCGTCCTGTGGGCAGCATCCTGTGGGCAGCGTCCTGTGACCACTGATGAAGGACTAGAGGATGATTAGCTCATACTGTACAGCAAGAGATGAGCTATCGTCTCTGGCTTTACATCTACAGGGTGGACCAAGAACACAGGTGCGTCTAATAGAGTGGACAGTGAGTGGACACGGTGTTTAAAAACTCTGGCAGCACTGCTGTGTCTGATCCACTCAGACCAGCGCAACACACACTAACACACCACCACCACATCAGTGTTACTGCAGTGCTGAGAATGATCCACCACCCAAATAGTACCTGCTCTGTGGGGGTCCATGGTGGTCCTGTCCACTGAAGAACAGGGTAAAAGTGGGCTAACAAAGTATGCAGAGAAACAGATGGACTACAGTCTGTAACTGTAGAACTACAAAGTGCACCTATATAGTAAGTGGAGCTGATAAAATGGACAATGAGCATAGAAACAAGGAGGTGGTCATGTTATGCCTGATCAGTGTACATGTTCAGTTCTTTGAAGACTGACCAAGTGATTAGTGGTTGGTATAGTGTAGTGGGTAACACAGCTGCCCTCTATGCTGTAGACTGGGGTTCAATCCTCCACCTGGACAAGTATTCTACACTATACCAATAAGAGTCTTTGGGCAAGACTCCTAACACTGCCTTTGCCTACCTGTGTAAAAAATGATCAAATTGGAAGTCGCTCTGGATAAGAGCGTCTGCTAAATGCAGTAAAAATGTAAAAATGATTAAGCAAGTGGAATCAGTTGTGATCCTGCTTGTTTGGAATGCAAACCTGCACCGACCCTTTTGCAGATAAGGCTGGACACGACTGGCATACACTCTTAAAATGATTCTATATAGAACCATAAACACTCAAAGAGCCCTTTGCATGATTAAAGGGTTCGTTGCATCATAAAGGGTTATTTAGATTGATGGAGATTGATGGAGACCCTTTTTTAAAAGGGTTCTTCTATTGTTATGATGTCAAGCTTGTAACAATAGAAGAACCTTCTTGGGTGCTATATAGAACCATCTACAGCACCATTTTGCAAAGCAAAGAAGGCTTTATTCATGCAAAGGGTTTTTTGAGTGTTTATAGTTGTATATAGAACCATTTTCGTTACTAAAGAACCCCTGAAGATCCATCTTTTTTTAAAGTGTGTAGCGTTCTCCTCCAAGCACATTCAGCTGTCCAATAATGTTACGTCAGCAGCAGCTCAAAGAAGATGCGGTGGCTGGCTTCACATGACTCAGAGGAAGCTTGTGTTTTGCATTCAGCCTCCTAGCGCTGGTGATATTGTGTGTTTGGTTAGGAATCCTAACTAGTGGGTGGAACAAAATATGACGAAATTGGGGAGAAAATTGGAAAAAAATACCCCAAAAAACAACCTCTTTGCCATGACTGGAACATTTACATACAACTGTATACTGATACGTAAACATGTTCAAGTACAATTTGTACAGCCATACTCGTGTAAGTTACGGATGTCCAGTCATAAACATGGTCTTTCTGAGGCCAAAGCAATGATGTCAGTATGCTTACTCTTGGTCTGAAAGATTTTGATTGGATTCCATTCTGTTTCAGTACATTAGAATTAGAAATCAGTGTCCATAATTTTCTTCTAGTTTCAGGGATGTGTTCTCTATTTTATGAACCCCTGTGCTGCAGGCAGGCTGATCGGCCGGTTCTACACTGAGAGTGGGCAGCCTACAGAGGCTTTGCGGCAGGTTGAGGCCTCCTTGGCTGAGGGGTTGAGACTGAAAACCCAGGCTGAGGAGGAGAACCAGCTGTATCCAGCCTGTAACTCGGAGTGGAGCTCCACCAGCGGAGGGCGTGTATGGTGCTCTACTAAAAGGTAAGTGATCTACTTACACTGGCCACTTTATTAGACCTACCTACCATTTTTGTTAGACACATGTTTTCCATGCACAATTTATGTTCCTCCTCTAGCCCCTCATCAGTGGTCAGGACCTCTGTTATGTGAATATTTTTGGTTCTCAATCTAGCAGTTTCTGGTTCTTAGTCTAACACTACCATGTCAATGTTACCACTTTGTGGAGAATGCCCAAATAATATCTGGGATACTGTCTGTAATTATAAACCTACAAAGTACACCAATAATATAAAATGGCCATTGAGTGTAGATACTATGCAGGTGTATCTATGTGACATCTCTGCGTATACAAGGTAAACTTCAGATAACTTCTGCTTTTCTTCTCAGTGGTGGTGTTCACAGAGATTGGGCTGGAGTTCCCAGAAGGCTCTTCTCACCCGGTTCAGGGAACACACGCTGTGTGTGCGTGCGACTAAACGATCCAACGCGAGCAAATAATCCAAATCTAAAGGAGTATAAGGACTGTCCACCTCATGCAGAGTCGTGCCTCCTTAGCCAAGACTGAGCTTCGTCAGAATGTTTTTTTGGCCACATTTTATTTTGATAGTCCCCTATAGATGATCTACAGATGCTTTGTTAAGAAATGATCTGATGAAACTCAGTTCATTAATATATTTAGGGCTAGGTTTGTGTTTTGGGCTGAACTTAAGGTTAGGTTTAAAGTTAGAATTAATAGAATATATTACATTTGACTAATCCATTGAATCTATTTCATTTGATTTAATTGTTATTTAGTTGAATGTTAGTTAAAGACAAGGTATAAAGCCTCTACTGTGGACCCTCAAAATATAATGTTAACTATTTAACTTTCATTTTTTGAAATCAGTACTGTGATTTTGATTATTGAATCTGTGCTGAATACTACAGAATCTTGCTTACAGATGATTAACCAAGCAAGAGTATCTCATGAGGATGAAGTGGATATTAATGGGTATACTTGGCTATGTAAAGGGGCTACATGTAAGATATGTCAATTTCACTTGATTATTAATTTCACACATGATTATTTTAAGGCAGTGGTCACCAACCCTCCTCCTGGAGATCTAATTAATCCACTTGTGTAAAGAAAGCGAAAGTCAAAGAAAAGTAAGTGGAAAATAAAGGAGTTTCCTACTTTGCAGACCTGGTAGACCACCAAAACTGTCACCATCAGATAAACAGCACTTAAAGCTTTCATCTTTGAGAGAGAGGAGAAAATCAAGGTGCTTCAGATCTGAAGAAAATCTACAGGTGTCCATCTTTCCATTGTGAGAAGACTCAGTGCTATGAGTCTGAAAGGATGTGTAGCTGTCAAGAAGACCTTACTGAGAAAAAGATGACGAAAAATTCTCAGATCTAACAAATAAGCTGCCAGCATTCTCAGAACAATAGATTGACCACCCCAGACCTCAGCATCACTGAATGTGTATGGGATTACTTGGATTGTGAGAAGCAGAAAGTGCAACCAACTTCTAAGACTGAACTTTGGAGGTGTGAAACAATATCCCTGCAGCTTTCTTTGAAAAACTGAAGGCAAGTCTCCTAAAAAATCTGGCATCTGTGAAAAACAAAGAGTGGACACATTAAATGCTAAACAATCTGACATTTTATTGTTGAAGCTTGTGCAATTTCCTGTTAAATACATGTTTTGTGTTTTTTTTTCCTCTCACAGATGTTCCAATAAATTGATTTGTTATTTTTCAAGAACTTACTTTTGCTTTATTGATTGTTTTATTTTTATTGTTTCTACTTGGAGATCACTCATTTTTCATGCAATTCCATGTATTTTAATGATGCAATTTGCATGAAAAGCAGTGCAGTTGTATTAAATCTACATATTTCCATTTGCAAGTAAAAAATTAAACAGTCAAGACAGAGTTGTCACTGATTTTCTTTAATTGTCTGATGACCTTAATGTAAAGTTGTCCTCCCTTTCTTGAAAAGGATACTAGAGGAAGTGACAGGCTAGATATCTGAGCATACAGATACGATACAGTGTGCATAAAAGATCGAACAGAGGCAAGATTTTAGGTTTGTCACGTTGACAAAAAAGCGCAAACTGCATTTAAGTACAAAACAGTTGTAGTGGTCAAAAATATTATACAATTAACTGTACAATTTAACATTACCTAGAACGGACCGTGGACTGGCCTCCTCCAACCCTGAACATCACATTCTCCTTTCAAAATACGATCAGAAACGTAAAAAAAAAAAAATGATAAAGTGCGGCTGTTTAGCGTTGAGAGTTTAAAATGATAGGTCAGCTTAATGTCAGGTGACATCGCACAAATCTGAAGATATATATATATAAAAAAAAAAGCATGATCCACCAAAACTCATTTATAGGCCAAAAATAAAATGGAATGTAATCCTTTGGTGATCATAAGTGAATAAATCATGATTATGACAGTGATAAAATTATATATGTGCATATGCATAGTAGGCAACTGATCATATTTCTGCACCTAAAATCCCTCTAAAAGAGCATCACTTTCTGGCTTCATATGAAAGATTTTTGCTTGTTAATCGGGTTAGAAAAGGAGACAGCTCAATGGCGAGTATTTCATGAGTATGCAAAAATGCTAATGGAAGAATACAAAATAAAGGTCCATTTAATATGCAGATCATTCAAAGATTAAATGTTGATCATAGAATTAAATGAGACACGGCCAAAGATTAAATCATAGAAGGCGGCAGAAGTAACAAACTCATATTCTCCACTGAAATGCAGCTGACATGGTTTTTATCATATTGATCAAAGTCCTTTAGGATGATAAACTCCTTCCTCAGACCTTGAGAGGTCAAAGAAAACAGCAAAGGTATATAAATGCTCCTTGTTCTGGACTAAGAAATAAAACACAAGCACGATTAAGGCTTCAAACTGTCTCTTGAGATGACCACTTAACCTAGCGAACACCTCAATTTAAATCCCTTCATATCCAGCAGCAAGGATCGCCAACGAAATTGTCGGCCTTCCAACTTGGAAATCAATTTATAAATGATGACTGACACTTCATCAGATGTCTAATTACTGTCTACGAATGGTCAATCGCTTCCCTCTGCAGCTGCACCCTCCGTCTCTTCTTCCATTGGCCTCTACTAGGTCTACAAACTCCACCTTGGTAGCACTACTTTTGATCCTTGGTAGATGTTGGTGCTTGAACATACATTAATAGTTATGGTTGTCAGGAAAAGACTGCAATAGTAGTATTAGCTGTGGTCCATAAATTTAGTCCCAAGGGCTCTCACCCCCTCTCTCTTCACTCTCTCTCTGTCCACCATGTCCAGTTTAGTGTGCCTGTTCTGGCAGGTGCCCATCTCCACATGGCCCATTTGATGTGTTAGGACACTCCACCCAAAGTCAGCACATCAAAGCAGATGTCGCACACGCGGACTGGTTTGTTCAAGTCGAATTTGATGATGGGGATCTCCTTGATGGAGCACTTGTGGCAGAGCAAGCGGCCACAGTGGCGGCTAATGGGAAGAGAAAGAATGAGATGAATGCAAAAGAAGACAAAGGTCACCAGAGGTTAAGAAATTGAAAGACTGCTTCAAGAATTTGCAAACATCTAGTCACGTACCAGTGATGTTTTCTCGTAGTGACTCCAAACTTGGCAGCGCATTCGTAGCAGTTTGAACCATCGCACCATGGAGGCTCTTTGGACAGCATATCTGCAAACATATAAACATATATGAAAATGAAACCTGCCTTCAGATAACTAAGACTCTAACTAAAGTATTATAGCCCAATATATACAATCACTATTATCAACTCCATGTCTGTTCATCACATTACAATGATGTCACACAGTTAAGCTGCCACCATTTTGGAAGGCAACTTTGTCATTCGGCAGGGCAGCGGTGGTTTTGTTATGAGACAACAAAGCTATATATATGTGTATGTATACACACACACACACACACACATATATATATATATATGTATGTATTTTTTTGCAGGGGGGGCCGCTCACTTTAAAACTAATTTTTGATGTGCATTAACCTCTATATTTGAGAGTACTACCTTCATTTTATTCAATTTTACAAATAAAAGCTGTAATCTAAATGGCCGAGGTTTCCCCGCTACGTTACTTCTAGTATGTGGTTTGGGACACAGCAGAACACTTATTAGTATCTAAAAAAAAACACTGCACTTCCATCTGAAGTGCATTCATTTCTGTAGTAGGTACAGAAGTCTGTGGTTTGGGATGAAGCATTAGATCATTAGCTCCAACGACTGATAACAGCTTTGCTGTGCCGCCAGGTATTTTTTGACTAAGGATGCATTTATTGAGATAAACTGGATGTCTATAGTTTTTTTCTATATGATGTTGGCAGCTTCTTTTTCGAAATTCATCCTATGTATGAGCCACCACTTAAGTTAGAACGGAAATTTGGAATAAGACACCAACTCCAGCCTAATTGTTTTTATTTAAGAGCTTTGGCAGTGTTAGTAATCTTCTTTTTATTAGTTTGTGTAAAATCTCAAATCTTGGACTTTTCTGAACTTATGAGATAAGAGATTACATATTCCGCATTTAAGGTGTCCACATATCTTTTCATCTTCTTCGTGGTCACCCTGGTCTATTTCGCTTGCATTGTCGCTGCAGCAGCAGTGACGAGTCAAGCTCTATCAGAGCACAGTCACAGTTACAGCTTGCCTGCCAAAGTGGCGGCAAGGAGTTCTTAATGATGTAACTGAATACTGCGAATAGGTGGCGCATCCTGACTAATTTTGCGATTTGAGTACCGAAAACTGTTAATGTAGGGATGAGTTTGAGATGCTTTTGAAGATGCAGCATCTCATGTGACAAAGCAGAAGACAAACTAATTTCTTTGACGTTTGTCAGAAACTTATAGTTGCTGGTAAACACTTGATCAGTTGTCTTAGTTGTCAGGGTACCAACACCAGAGACAACAGTGATTGGCTGAGTGAGTTCATGTTGCCTTAGAAAGTTGGCAAAAATTGAACAGAGGACGAATAAAATAATGTCAAATTTTTGCATTTCATGCTTGCTGTGCAAGAGGTCATCAGTTATTTTTAATTTAATTTAAAATTGATTTACTGATCATGCTTGTTGCGTAAAATCCTCAAGTTGGTAGAATCTTGAATATAAACATGTAAATCTTGTACCTAGAAGGCGGAAGAGGAGCTGCTTAGTGGCCACTTGATAGTTGAAGATGTTGATGCCCTGATTGTTGTTGACACCCAGACGAGCGCCAGCCCTTACGATGGCGCGGCACAGGTTGGCGTTTCCTTTCATATAGGCCAGGAGAAGAACTGAAGAGCAAAACAGAAAAAGTAATGTTTAATATGCATACCATATTTAATTTTTTTCTAATATGGTTAATTAAATAAAAACATAATATATATCAAATAAAACAAGTACATTAAATATGAATTAAATTTGTATTAAAACTTTTGATATTCATGCATCCTATACCCTATAACTCCTATAAACACAAATGTTATGTATACATATATTAATATAATTATTAATAATGAATTATTAATCTAATTTTAAACAAATTTTACATTAAACAGTAGGTGTTTTATGAATAAAGCAACAGTTTTTCTGGGAATTCTCTGCCTAGAATAATTTGAAGGAGAAGGAAACAGAAATGTCAGGTCACTCTAACCTGTGTTCCCTTCATTGTCTGGTTTGTCTAGAGGATACTCCGGCATGCATTCCAAAAACAGCTCAAAGATAGCTGCTGCATTCTCCTTCCCGTAATGCCCAAGGACATGCATTGGAGATTGGCCCCTGAAGGTAGCAAGAGAAGTTAACATGTTCAGAATTCAGCGACACTTTTCTCCATTCACACACAATGACAACAGACCACCAAGGAGCCAAGATAAGCACATATGAGTAGGGCTGAGCGAAATGACAAAAATATAACATCATAATACTTACAGACATTTTCACGCCACACTATAAGTATCAGGATATTTAGGCTTTTACAATATTTAGAGGTCTGATAAGTTGGAACAGACCAGTAATAGCACAAAAATGACTATGAATAACTATGTACAATGCATTTTATTCAACGTGTCAGTTCGTCAGTCTTCTTTAATTGCTGACAATTTCCACAATATATTCAGAAAAGTGTATTAGTATGTTATTCTCACAATAAAATATCATATTGCCCAGCCCTATGTATGAGTTTCACAGTAAAGACTGTACACAAAAAAGAGAATTTCAACAGACAGGAGAGTAGCTGTGTGGTTGATGGGTGTGGAACGTCTTGTACCTGAGATTGTAGGCCTCGGCATCAATGTTTGATTCGGTAAGAAGAGCTCTCACGTTATTCAGACGACCCTGCATCACAGCCAGATGTAGAGCTGAAACAAGAACGAAGACATTACACAAATAAGCTGAATCATAATAGTGATAAACTGTGTAAATCTGTGTCCCTCTGTCTTTTTCCTAAAAGAATGCAACTCACATACAGTGGCATTTGACCAATCAAGCAGGCAACTGCTCACTACTGGTGGCTACCTAACATTTGGCTTGATAAACAAAGGTTTATATTGTAACATAATTTCAATGCTTTTTAATACCTTTTGAAGACCACAAGAAAAGGAAATAATACAATTTCCAGCTGACAACACCACACACAAACTGCAATATAGCATGAATTAATGTTTATTCTACTCAAACAATGGTCAGTTCATGAACACAGGACCACTGTTGGCTATGGCTAGTGGGCAAAATATTCTGAATTAGTTTAATATACACAGTGACTCTTTTAAACCCATTTTAGGAATTATCTAAGAATTTAATACCTATAATTGTAATAAAGGAAACATTTTCATATATTGTATTTCATTTCTAAGCTCTATTTTAAGACTTCATAAAACTTTTTAAGGATCTGCAAGAAACCTGTTAAAGCATCCACATGTCAGAGTGTTCATGTATAATCAGAGCAATTAATTACTCCTTTTTTTATGTTCAAATACTTGTCCACAGTATTACTCAAAAATGCCAGTAAGTTGTGGCTAAATCACAAATATGTGATGATGTAATATTTTGGTACTTAACAACAATCCCAGTTCATTTTTTGCATTTCTTAGAGTCGTACCATTGTTGCCATTTTCATCAACAGCAGCAAAATCAACGCCGTTTTCAAGCAGCACAGAGCATATAGTGGCCAGGTCCTGCTGCGCTGCCAGGTGAAGAGCCGTCTGACGATGTTTTGTCAGTTCGTTCACTTTAGCACCTGCTAGAAGCTAAACATCAAAACACAAACACAAGATGTGAGCAACCATGAACACAGCAGTAATTCAAAGGCTAACTGACCAAAATGTATGCAGAGGAAGTAAACCGACACAAAGACATGAAAATGCAGACAGTGTTACAAAGTTACGTGATGAAAATCTGATTTAAGATACATTCTTAAAAGTCTATCACCTGCACTACATTGTCATTTTAGACTAGCTGCTATCCTGCTTCCACTCTAAATCACATTAGTTGATGTAGACATGATTTAAAACTGTAGTAACTAAGCTGCCAGACCCATATAACAATGAACCAGACACCGGGCACATGGCAACACTGATTATAAATCAAACAAACTGACCTATAGGAGGCCTTTACAATCGAGAAAGGTGAGAGATTATATCATCTTCAAACTATAATTATCTTTAAAACTTTATGGCATGCTGTTGCTTAAATGGCCCATATTCTATATATTTCTTGTGTTTGTTTTACCTTGAGGTCCACTGGGGTCCACTTTATGTGATTTTATGCACTTCCTATGTAGTTCATATGTACTTCATGTAGTTCATTTTCATATGGCCATAATCTCTCTACTCTTTAGAATACAACAAGCAGTTTTTGTTACTATGCTTGTAAATGAGCTGTTCTGACTGACCACCCTGTATTGTGTCTCATTCAAAAAGCAGTCCAAGCTTAAAGCACTTCTTATAACTTCAGTGTGAATTGGCGAAGCTAAACTACTGAATGAACAGGTGTAAATGAAATTCAGGCTTTGAGATTGCTGCTAGTGTTGTTTTTAGCTATAAAATGTAATTTTTTCAGCTATAAAATGGAATTTTATGATAATGTTATGGATGGAAGAGATTATTTTATATATTTACTTCAAAATTAAGCAATCCGAAACAGAATTATGTGGTTTTTGACATTTTGACATTATCTTACATAGCTAAAATTAGTAGTATCAGCCATTTAGAAATCTGAATTGTCTTTTCATTTGTCCACTTTTATCAATAACAGGCTTTTGTACCAATGCTTGTTAGCTACACTAGCCTCTAGTGCAAAAATAATAAAGCAAACTTCAGACACTACATACAGTGCTGCAAAAAAGTATTTGCCCCTACCTGATTTCTTCTATTTTTGCATTTTTTTCACATTTGAATGTTTCAAATCATCAAACTACTTTAAATAATATAAATATTCCATTTACTGGAGGAAAAATGCTGTTCAGCCCTACTTGGCCCTATGTGAAAAAGTAACTGCCCCCTTACTAAATGAACCAGTTAACCAAATTCAATTGACCATTGGGTTCAATTTCACTTGCCACACCGAAGCATGATTACTGCCAGAACTGTTGAATCTAAATATCACTTAAACAGAACCTGTCTGGCAATGTGAAGCAGCTAGAAGGTCTCAAAAAGCAGCACATGATGCCACATTCTAAAGAGATTCAAATACAGATGCAAAACAAATTCACTGAAACCTACCAGTCTGAAAATGGTTACAAAGCCATTGCTATGGCTCTGGCAATCACAGTCAGAGATATTATCCACAAATTAAGAAAACCTGGAATAGTAGTGAACCCTAGGAGTTGCCGGCCTACCAAAATTTCACCAAGAGCGAGGACTCATCCAGGAGGTCACAAAAGAACTCAGTAGTTGGGTTACACAACAGGACCATGATCCAAAACACACAAGCAAGTCCACCTCTGAATGGCTAAAATGAAACATGAGTCCTGACTTGAATCCCATTGAGACGCTGCAGCAAGACTTTCATGCTCAAAAACCCTTCAATGTAGCCAAATTAAAGCAATGCTGCAAAGAAGAGTGGGCCAAAATTCCTCCACAGTGATGTAAAAGACTCATTGCAAGTTATTGCAAACATTTGATTGCAGGTGCTACTGCCAAGGGTGGCACAACCAATTACTATGTTTAGGGGGCAACTGCTTTTTCACATATAGGTGATATAGGTTTTGAATAAATCTTTATCTTCAATAAATGAAATTATCATTAAAAGCAGCATTTTGTGTCTTGTATTAAATATCTGGATGATCAGAAACATTTGACAGATTAGCAAAAATAGAAGAAATTGGTTGAGGGGCATATTTTGTCACACCATATGCCTTGGCTGACTGACTACATTTGGGGTAAGGGAAAAATTGTGTATTTCAATTTCAGCCACGCTATTCCTTTAATTCAGTCAACCTGAACTTAACTATAAATCTAAGTAAGTCTACAACTGAATAGACTGTAGTTGGTTGACAGTTAAGCAGTGAGTTTAGTAAGTGGTAACCCACTGGACAAATCTTACCAGGTTGCGGACGATGATCTCAGAACCGGCCTGCACAGCGAGGTGAAGTGGGGTTAGCTTGGCGGCATCCTGCACCCTAGAGTTGACGTTGGCCTGCACGCTGATCAGGAAAAGCACACTCTCAATATCTGAATTCTGCACAGCAACATGCAGGAAGTTCCGTCCTTTGTTGTCCACCTGAAAAGAGAAACAAAAAAGGAGGATAATCAGGTGTATAGAATAGAAAAGGCTGGGATACATTTGGCTCAGATCGGTCGTTTTGCCTTGCCGGTTTACATTCATGTTTGTAAGTGACCAATATCTGTCAACACTGTGCACACTTGCCCTGCCATAAATGTTCCACAGCACAGTCACACACACACATCCATCTATCCCACCTGCTCGGCTGCTCCAGGCTCTCTCTTGAGGATGGCCTCTGCTGCTTTGTTGTTCTTGTGTGTCATGGCGCACGCGAACGGGGTCATGCCCTGCCTGTCTCTCAGGTTGAGACGAATGTCTGGATGGGAGATGAGCAGCTGGATGATGACGCTGTGCTGGTTACTGATGGCCACATGGATTGGGGCCCGTCCCTCAGAATCCTGCAGTGAGCAGCAGTGCGGGGTGGGGGGGCGGTCAAGAATATTAAGGATCAAACTATTATGGATATAGTTGGTTATATGAACATACGGATAAGCTATGGACTACGTACAGAAATATTTCAAACACAATGTCAAAGTAAAGTCAAAGTCAAATTAAAAGTTGTTTTCCACTAACCCATGATGTAGTTGATCAGTCAAGACATTTTGGTGGCAAAACTGAGCTTCTTTAGCACTAGAGCACTATGTCTTTTCCATAAATACATCCCCAAAACATAATATAAAACCTCTCAGTGTAGCAGGCAAGTAGCAAACAGCCATTTTAGACACAGGCGCTCTGCCAAAATCCCATTCACGTGCACACGTCACATGACATACGGACGCTACAGATTACATTCTCGATTTCCTTTGGTTCTTTTCAGAAGTAACTGGTAATCTTAAATTTTGTCTGCCTAACATTTATGAAGACCTGGATGCGTTTTGGGGGTGTACACTATACTGCCAAAAGTATTCGCTCGTCTGCCTTCACACACATATGAACTTGAGTGACATCCCATTCTTACTCCATAGGGTTTAATATGATGTCGGCTCACACTTTGCAGCTATAACAGCTTCAACTCTTCTGGGAAGGCTTTCCACAAGATTTAGGAGCAGGTTTATGGGAATTTTTGACCATTCTTCCAGAAGCGCATTTGTGAGGTCAGACACTGATGTTGGACAAGAAGGCCTGGCTCGCAGTCTCCACTCAAATTCATCCCAAAGGTGTTCTATCGGGTTGAGGTCAAGACTCTGTGCAGTCCAGTCAAGTTCTTCCACACCAAACTCGCTCATCCATGTCTTTATGGACCTTGCTGGAACAGGACGAGGCCATCCCCAAACTGATCCCACAAAGTTGGGAGCATGACATTGTCCAAAATCTTGTTGATATGCTGAAGCATTAAGAGTTCCTTTCACTGGAACTAAGGGGCCGAGCCTAACTCCTGAAAAACAACCCCACACCATAATCCCCCCTCCATCAAACTTTACAGTTGGCACAATGCAGTCAGACAAGCACCGTTCTCCTGGCAACCGCCAAACCCAGACTTGTCCATCGGATTGCCAGATGGAGAAGCGTGATTCATCACTCCAAAGAACTCCAGTCTCCACTGCTTTAGAGTCTAGTGGCGGCGCTTTACACCACTGCATTCAACGCTTTGCATTGCGCTTGGTGGTGTAAGGCTTGGATGCAGCTGCTCGGCCATGGAAACCCATTCTATGAAGCTCTCTATGCTGTTCCTGAGCTAATCTGAAGGCCACATTAAGTTTGGAGGTCTGTAGCTCACTGAGAGCGACCCATTCTTTTACAAATGTTTGTAGAAGCAGTTTGCATGCCTAGGTGCTTGATTTTATACACCTGTGGCCATGGAAGTGATTGGAACACCTGAATTCAATGATTTGGATGGGTGAGTGAATACTTTTGGCAATATAGTGTATTTAAGGAAAAGATTTGGGTGAATGTTAACTTCTAGCGTTTGTAAGCAATGTTACCCTCACAGCTCCAGTGCTAAACTAAAGCAGCAACATATGGACACCAAACACGTCTTGGCCGATTGGGGTGAGGGGAAAATTCTGTATATGTGATTTTTCACTCAACCATTACTTCTTTTTTCACATATGCCTCAAAAAAAACAAAACACATATCACTAAATAATCCTACCAAACAGGTACAGATTACGTCTTATGCTAGCTGCATATAACAAACCAGGGGTCTTCAAATCCTGTCCTGGAGGACCAGTGTCCAGCACAGTTTGGTGATTTCAAACACACTTAAGTCAACTCATTTGTTAATTTGTTTGGTACACTGTTTTTTGAACAGGGCAATTCCCCAACTGCATTGAACACCAGGCCTCCAGTATAGGGGTTAAACAAACGTTCAACCTTCTGTGTTTTTGTCTTTTACTTCATAAGAATGCAAATTATTTTTCTCAATGGTGATTCGAATACTGTTTGTTTGAAAATGCAGATATTAAACTAGCAATATAAACTAATTCCTACTCTCTGGTTTTATCTATATACATGCATACAATGTAATACAGTTTTGAAACAGTACTACCAACAACTACATATGATCTGATTATTTTCTTTATCTATAATTATTGCTTTTATAAAACTTCCCAGCCAGCACTCATGGGAAATGAGTGATAGGTTTGGTGGAGCTTTCTTACCTGAGCATTGACGTTGGCTCCAAACTCCAGAAGGCACTGCACCACATCCTCCAGCCCCCAGCAGGAGGCCAGGTGAAGGGGGCTCTGGCCATCCCTTGCTTCCTCATCTCCTTCACCGTTAGGACCAGGCCTTCTTGGGCTGTTCACGTCACAACCACTGAGAGAGAAACAGACAGATGCACATGTATAGAGGAACAGTAAGCTATAAGGTGATGACACCTAATGAGCTCATTCTTAACTTACTTTAAAGAAATATTCAAAGTAATGATTATTATTATTCATGTAAAAGAGTAACTTTAAGCTCAACTGGACTTTAGTCTATGTGTTCTCCATCTGTCACAAAGGAAAAGCCCATGTGTATTAAGCTAAGTGCTTCCCTGTATAGGGTTTCATCTTAACTCCAAGCTTAGCACCACATAAACAAACCCTCCATGGTGCCATGGAGAAAAATAAACAGAATCCTCCTTCTCTGATGGGTTTGTGTTCCTTCACTGCCGCAACTGAAATTTAATCCCCACCTATACACACTCAGCACTCAGCTCAGCTTATTGTCATTGATGTAACAATCATGAAAATTGTTTCAAACTTTAGGTGCAGGTTCAGTCACTGGTGCAAGATAAGCATACATCACTATCCGAGACATTAAACATGCATATGAGTTGGGTGCTGACCTGCGTATGAGGAAGCAGGCAGACACCTCGTTGTTCTCATCGATGGCTCTGTGGAGCAGCGTCTGCTGGCAGCCTCCGGGTCCCGTGCTCCAGCAGGTCGCATCACAGCCGTGCCTGACCTATCAGACAAATAAAAATCTTCAGTATACGGTTCAATGAAACATGAGAGCTAAAACTCCATAATTATTCAGTTAAGTTTGATTATTTTGGAATGACTCAATTCTTTTAAAAATACAATCAATATCTAAATGTTAGGTGTGGGAATCATTATTTTCATATTCAATCTTTTTTTATGCGAATTAATCAACAAATAGTTGTTCAGTTAGCTAGCTCTTGTATGCATGCCCATAATTAGCTATGAGGAAACCGAGGTCCGGACATTGATAGTTACAAAAGGGTTTTTTCACGTGTCTACATGCATGAGATTGAATGCGGAAACCGCACCATTCTGATAATGCGGTAGTATACTCAGGGGTGTAGCCATGGGTAGGCCTATTTAAGCCAGGGCCTACCCATATTGATCAGATTGTGACATTTTTAGATTTTTAAAATTGTGACATTTGTTTTCTGTAAGTGCTGTCACTGTTTCATGGCTACTCGAATCATTACGCTGTAAGCCAAACTCTGCCTTATACTGTCAGGCCTCCAATCACTGCTTAGCAACCATCGCTACTGTCTCAAGCCTTCAATTTGTTATCAGCACCCGTCATGTTCGTAACTAGTGTGAGGACACAGAGGTCCTCAGATGTTTCTGAAGCGTTTATAGGATTCAGTGTGGAAACAGAGGCAAGACGACCCAGCAGTGACTGGTCCTCAGATGACCTCAAAACATCCATGGTTTGGCCATAGACTAAAGGCTATGTTTACCTCTGAACGAGACGCAACGCTAATGCTGCCCAAAGCAACTTGGACTTCTTGAGATGTAACGTTACAGGTATGCAGCACACATACTATAGGCTAACACAACATGTAGCTACCATGAAATGTGAGAGTTCACAAGGGTTTTTAGCAGATTATGAAAAATGTAATGTAAAATGTAAAATGAAAAGCCCTATAACTCATTTTTTTTTATCTGGACCACTTCTAACGTTGCTAGGTAAATCAGCATGCTTTAGTCTAGATCCAGTAACTGCTCAGTTTAGGCTACAAGCTCTGTAGTTGCTATACTACCGACTGGGTGAGAAATTACTAGTAGTTAAAAGTAGCATTGTGTTACCTACTCATAACATACTACAACCAGCATGGGAAAGTTCACTGTTAAATAGCATATTGATGGCACAATGTCATGTAAGGTAATTCAGAAATCAGCAGGTACTTTTGCCTGTATTATGTCCAGTAAACTGTTTGAGTAGCTTCCTTCCTATTAGCTGGGATTTGGTAGAGACAGACTTTTATAAAGTTTTTTAATATATGCTTTTTCGTAATCTGAGAGGACAGAGAAGGAAGAGAGCAAACGAGATGAGCACTGAAACTGAGATTATGAGAAAGGTAAATGAAACAAAATCATTCTACTAATCTCATCATTCAAAAAACTATCAACTGATTTAGTACATACAGGTTTCAGTATGCATTTTCAGCTGAAAATAAATGGGCAAATAAAGAGTTAAATTAATTAAATGAACTGAATAAAATGAAACATGTTAACTGGAATTGGAACATTAATGGCAGTTTAAGGAAGACTGGAGGGATGGGAAAAGAATAAATGAATGGAAAAGGTACATAATTATGGATGGGTGAAAAAGGAGGAATGATTTGGTAAAAAAAATAAAAAAATAAAAATAAAAATAAAAAAATTTTATAAAAACCTAAAGGAGACAATTTTGAATTTTTTGATTCTAGTTACAGCCCTGTACATATGCAACGCTGTGACTGGACAGACTGCTGCTAAAGACTTCTAATTAACAGAAAGAATAAAGTAATAAGCCATGAAAAGCCTGGTGCTACAGTGATTTTATCACAGGTAAGGGTGTTATTAGGCACAGTGTGAAGCGGTTACCTGTGATAAAATCCCATCTCCCAAATGAAATTTTCTCTTTTTTCCCCTTTAATTAAGTCTACAATGACATTTCAATCTTTTTCAAAATTGAAAAGATATTGTTGAAAACAGCCTGAGAATTTGATTTTAGCCAAGTGAGTGAGTGCATGCTTTATTGAATATCACTGAATACAATCAATTCAAACATTCCAAACTCAATGCAGCTGAATGACCATCTTCACATTCATGTCATCATCTCCTTACCAATGTTGAGGCGATGTCCTCCAAGCCGTTCTCTAAAGCCAACCACAGGGGAGGATCCCCCTTCTCGTCCACCACCGACATGTCCGCTCCTCGTGTACAGATGGCATCAACCACCAGGGGGAGCTGGTTACTGATGGCTAGCTGCAAGGCTGTCTGGCCCTCCTGCGTCCTAAGAGGGAAACAAAGTCTTCAAATTATTCAAGCCACAGTGGGCAACCACATGAGACAACAGGGTCTGTATACACAAATCTCAGGAGTAGAAGTGCTGATCTAGAGTAAGGTTTTGTGCCGACTACCATAAATACAGAAGAATCTGATCCAAGATCAGTCCTGCTTTGTGAAAACCAGCCCTGGTGCTGTCTTAAATCACTACCTGAAGGAGTAAATTGTATAGCTCACAGTGGGTCACACTGTATGCTGAACCACGCAAGTCTGTGTGACCTTAATGAAAACCTAGATGCAAGCTGAGAGAAGTTTTGGTGATGTATTTTTACAGACTTTGGGATTTTTGAGCAATATTAGCCTCACAGCTCTAGTTCTAAACTAAAGAAGCAAAATTTAAATTACAAACAGTCAGTCGACTACATCTGGGGCAAAAGGCAAATTTGAATCTTCACTAAACTACGCCTTTAAGCTGGTTTATGCTGATCATCACTTTCTGTACTCTAAATATACCATTTTATTTGCCTGTGTGCTTTTATTTGCTTTGTGTGAGGTAAACAAGTACCAGTAGTACTGTACATCATTCTCAAAGCAATGAAAAGAGTTCGACTTCTTTCTGAAATACAGCAGTTTTCACTCATTTTGTTTTCTTTCTTTTGAAGAATGTGTGGGGCAGCCTAAACCTGGGGAGACAAGAGAAAGATCCCCAGAGGTCTTCTAGTATGTACGGAGAAACATTAGTTTATGAGTTTATTTACACACAATCTTAAAAACGGACCAAATAAGCATTCCATGTTCCCAAACTGCGGTCCCATGTGGTTAAAAAAAAGTTCCACTTTTTTACCACCTCGCCTGTGAGAACCATACCTGACGTTGATGTCTGCCTGGTGCTCCAGCAGGAAGAGGGCACTCTTGCTGTCCTGTCGTTTGATTGCCATGTGCAAGAGAGTCTGACCATCCGACATGGTGTCATTAATGGCTGCACCTGATCCCAGGAGCTGGGCGGCGATGGTGTGCATTCCTAACAACACATATGACAGTTATCACATTATCTGAATGCTTTACAACCTAATCAAATACACCATGCTGCATGTAATGAATTCAATGCAGTACAGAAAAATCACAAAATGTTCAGTGTATTAACAACTATATCGCTAATGTTCCCCAGGTCTCATCTGAGGGGTTTTTGTTTGCCATCTGTCATGAAAACCATTGTTGATGATCAAAACTAGGCTTCTGAGTGTGTCATGTTTTTGTATTGATTATGGCACTGTTGTATAAAATTACTATTTTGCACAAGGACAAGCCACTTTGTAATCTTTTGCTCTGAAATAAAACTGCCTTTTTCTGAGGCAATCTGTGTAGCATCTAATTAGAGCTCTGTGGAATAAAGCCATTGTTAACACATAAAATATTGATTATAACCAGAAAATATGTGCATCATTAGCTGTTGATCAAGTTTTGCCGAAAGATTGTTGCTGAATTATTACTGGTACTGGTAACCCTGTCAAAAATCTTTCACAAATACTGCATATACCACACAGGACTCAGACGAGAGAGCACAGAGTAAAATATCAAATGTGTTTGTATGATAGTAAAGGTGACTGTTATATTAACCATACGGAAAGGGTTAAATTAAAAAAACACAGAAATATAATAAAACACTGTTTAAAAGCTGTTGAATATTTCATCTGAGTCTGGGCATGGCACTAATATTCTAATGAGCATGCTTGCTTGACATCCTTCTGTCTAACACTCCCAGCTTGCAACAGCACTGAAGCAGACACAACAGCATGAGCGAGAAGAAATAAGTGTAACAGACATTACACATGCAGGTTGTGTTGTAGACGCCTCTGCTGTGTCCATGACTCATTAAAAAAAATTTAGCTTTTTTTGTGGCAATGTCTTAAAGAAGGTAAGGTTCTTATTGACGTTACTGCTGGAATGTACACAAATGGAATGATAAAATGGCTGGCTGGACAACAGACGACAGGCAGGCAGATAAGCATTCAGACAGACAGATACAAACAGCGCTCTGTTATGCCTTCTAGGTTAGCTTTCGCTTGGTTGTTATCTTTCGCTCTATAAGCTTCTCTGTAAATGCATGGTTTTGTTAAAGCTATGTGGGCAGGACAGACCACATCAGCCTTGCAATTGGTGAGGGTAATGCTTACACAAGTATTACTCAAGATTTGGACCACCTAATCTACATCAAAATGCGAGAATTTTGGTGAAATGGTCATTTACTGGACACTGGAACGTTATTCATAAATCATACTTTGTACATGTATGTTGTGTACTCACAAGATCAAGATTAATGCAATTAGACAGAAAACATGGACTTAGGCACCCTGGTGCTTTAAACTTAGATGAAGTCAGTGAGCCTGTTTCAGTAGTACCTGTCCAGAGGGCAAGTCCAAGCACAGTCTGGTCCAGGGAGTCTTTAAGGCTGAAGTCAGGGATGATCTGTAGGTTGTTTGTGGCATGAAGAGCATTTGCTGTAGGAGACAAAATAACAACAGACTTACTAGCAATATACCAATTCTAGGATAGTAATTCACAACTTCTAACTTCTATTACAACCAAGATTCAGGTCCACCAAACTTTCACTTAAGGATTGAGCAACAACCATCTTTCAAAATTGCTATTAGGTCTTTTTTCCTGGTACATCCCGGTAGATAATAGCACTTCCATTGAAGCTTTTATTGAAGAAACACTCATAATCTGTAGTCTATGGGTCTAATTTGTCTCCTTAAAAAATGCAATTTTATAATTTGGCCACACGGTGGCAATGAGTGACACAGTAAATTAAAACTGTAAAAATATCTTGGCAAAATTATCATCATTAGTCAAAACACTGCAATGACAATATTGGTAGATTCACTTTTTGCCCTTCCTCATCTCATTCGCTCCATCCCATAAGGCCTACCTTTCTGTTCTAGTATAACAGACACCACGTCCGGGTGGTTGTGGACAATGGCCATGTGGAGAGGACTCTGCAAGGACACTCCTTGGCTCCGGTCACTGTCAGGGAGGGCACTCTGGGTCTGCAGATTAGGGTTGGCTCCCTGCTGGAGAAGCTCTGCCGTCAGACCGGCCAGGCCACAGCGGCAGGCTGTGTGGAGAGGAGTCTCACCCTTCAATATGACACATATGAAGTGAAGGAGAAAGGAGTAGATGATACAGGTGTTGGCAATATGGCAGAAATATCACAATCCTTTAAGACATTTTCACGACACACAATACTTATCACAATATACTGTTTTTTTTTTGACACAATTTGCCAGCTGTGCCACATTTAAAAACGGTTTAAACATAAAATCTTTTGAGTACAATAATTATTTCTTATGGACAACACTGTCCTAAAGACACCACCTTTAAGACAATTGTTTAGAACGATTTTAGACCAGACTGTTCTGTCATTAGTCACAGTGGAATGACCATGTATTTTCCTTGGATACACCTACCCATTTATTGGTGTGATTGACCTTAGCCCCGTGGGTGGCCAGGAAGATGGCGGCTGCCTCACTGCCAGCAAGGGCTGCTCTCTGCATAAGACAGTTTCCTAAAGAAAAGACCAGCCACTGATTTTTATAAATGTAATATATATATACATATACATACATACATACATACACACATACATACATATACACACATACTTTTTTTTTCTTCTTTTCTAAAATCATTTGACAGTCATTCGAATTTCTTTAGCTGCCTTCTACCTGGCACTATGCCACTATTCTCAGCTGCCTGGCAATCTTTTGCAGAGTATTAAACATCACATGACTAGGCTTTCAGGTACAGGGATCCAAAAGAGTAGCCTTGGCTGTAAAACACTGCAGCACTAAGTGCAGCAGCTAAAAGTGGGGAGACATTCAAAGCTTAGATTATGCAAGTGTAGCATCTCTGGTCTCTATTAGTGATAATCTTCAAGTGGCTGTACTGCAATAATGGTACTAGATGCTGACCTCTAGAATGCAGGGGGCAGCTTCTGAGTTCTGTATGTATATAAGATTTTGTAGGATACCTGAGGCATCTGGAGCATCGGGATTGCTTCCTCTCTGTATGAGTCGGGCTGCAAAGCTGTTCTCATCGAACGAGGTGCCGTTAACTATGGGTGCGTCATCCTCAAATGGGTTAACAGAAGGGTCGGCAGCCACGGTAATGTACTGCAGGGCTAACCACAGAGCTGTGCTGCCTTCGTGGTCTTTAAGCTCCAGGTCCAACCTAAACAAAAAAGGATTACACAATTAACAGATAAGGAACAGTAAAATTTGTTTTTGTGAAAAAGTATGAATGCAAGATCTGGTTTTGGACCTCTAGTAAAAGAATTTCATTGCTTACTGTTTGCACTGCAGAAGCTGGTTGAACACAGGGTCGTTTCCTGACAGCACTGCCTCATGTAAAGGTGTTCTGAAAGGTCAAAATAATGAAATGATCATTTGTTTCATTTTACTTTACATATTCACTGACAAAACGAGGCATTAAAAATCTAATAAGAAACTGCAGCATGTGACTTTTCTGTCAAAATACAATACTGTGCAAAAGTCTTTAGGCATCTATACAAATTGTGTAAAACCATTTAACTGTACAGTGCAATAACTGCAACAACTGGGCCAACATTCTGTAAAGCTTGCCCTACCTCACAACAGTAAGCATTAAGGTGTGCAACAGTAGCTACAAAAGGACAAATCTTTGGGCAAGCCACAACCAGCTAATCCCAAAACACTAATTACTAACCCACTAATTACTAATTACCCACCGTCCTCTGCTGTTTTGCATGTTGGGGTTGGCGCCAGTTTTGAGGAGGGCCTCGGCAATGTGGGCCATGCCGCTCATCACCTCTGCGCTGTGTTTTTTTGGGCTGAAAGAGCAGACGAGATGCAGGGGGGTCTCCACCGCCCCCACTGTGGCTGCATTCACCTGGGCCGAATGCCGGATCAGGAAGGTGGAGGCAAATTCATCTCCTGTAGACACACGCACAGACACAGGTGAGAAATGACTGGAGCACGTTTACATGAATAGGATGTACGCAGCAAGATCATGAAGATCATATTCCAGATTTGAAAGAAACGAGGACATGACTCTGTTAAATGTCTGGTGCTGGACAGAATGGATAAAATTCAATATCGTGATATTTTCCAAATATGTGACTGTATCAGATGGTTTTTACATTTCAATTATTAAAGTTAAAGGGGAACATTTCTGCATAATTCAATGGCTGAGAGTGGTTTAATGTGAAACGGTTCACTTGCAGAGAAACTTAACGACTCAGATTTGTTTACAGTTGTGCTCCTGGAAAGCACTTTATTTGCTATCTAAAACAATCAAACTATATGTGTTTTCCATTTTTATAGGCTGAAAATAGTTTTCTTTGTTTTCTTTTGAGTACTATTTTGCCACTATTTACTATTTTACAACACCATATATGTATCTCTCCAACATAAATAAAAATTAAAAGCATACAATCGGAGACGTCATATAGGGGGAGGCCGGTCACTGATTGAAATATGAATGGGAAAGCTTGTAACACTCAACATTACATCTGTTTAGGGCAGGGATGCACAACTCCGGTCTTGGAGGGCTGTTGTACAGCACAGTTCGGAGCTTTCCCTAATTCCTCACTAAACCTGGACACACATTATACACACCCACCTAAGCCTGGCAATTAACAGATGAGTGTAATCAGGTGGGTTTGAGCAGGCAAATCACCAAACTGTGCTGGACACCGGCCCTCCATGACCAGAGTTGTGCACCCCTGGTTTACGGGGAAAGGCCTTAATAAAGGCTCTTGAATAAAAAAGAGCCAATCAGCTTACTGGTTATGCCACAAACGGGGAAAGCACCCCCTCACTGTGAAGATCTGTACAAACACAGTAGCCAAAAACAACCTGAAAAAACGTTTCTGTGCATTATTGAGCCAAATACCACAAACTATTATGGGTTTTTGGCAGATTTTACTAGTGGTTTCAAATATGCTTCTGAAATGGTCGTCTGACCTTCATTTTTGAGTATTTTGGTCTCCCTACATTCAAAGAGAGAGGAGACTGATCTTGTATGGATGGCAATAACTGCCCATTGGTGTGGCCAATATGTCCACAGAGTAAACAGACTTTCCTGTAATGACTTATGATATAATTCAAGTCAAAATCTTTGCAAAACTATCATAAAAATGTCTCAGGCATCAGGCAACATATTGGTAAATATGTAAGCAATAACTTTGTGTGAGGTTGTTTTAATGCTAGAAGCATTAAACTATTCAGATGTCTGGTTACTATCACCACTGCTGTAAACAATTCTGACTTGGAGCATTTCTCAAACCACTCTGAAAGATTTTGTCTACATCATATTGATTTAATTATGTAGAAATTGTGTAAAATCAGTGTAATTCCCCTTTAATGAACCTGTGCTTTCTGAGGACTGGTACTCCATGCTTTAAGAAAAAACTTTACAAACCTAATTAGGCTAACTACTTTGTTCTGCTTTCTTGGGTTAAAATCACACTCAGCAAATGACTCTGCAAAACTCACAGCTTGAAAACTCTCAGCAGAATGATGTTTCTGCAAGACGATAGCTCCCCTACCTCTCTGGATGGCTTTGTGCAGGAGGCTCCAGCCACTCTGATCCACCATGTCCACATCTGCTTTGTTGTTGACCAGTGTGGTGGCGATACTCTCCAGCTTCCTCGATAAGGCCAGATCCAGAGCCAGGTCTCCATTATTGTCCAACTCATTCAGCTTCCCTGGCAACTGAGATAGCAAAAGAGGAGGAGTTTTACACCCTTTAGATTCAAGATGACCAGCAGCGGGTTTAGATTTGATTACTGCATTTTTCTAGAGAACATCAAATTTGGAGGCAATGGATCAGGTTCAGTACGTTGAACTAATGATCCTTAACAGAACAGATCAAAAGATTTACTGATATGACTTCAGAAAAAACAAACAGCGAAGACATTTCCACATTTATGTATATGTTTAATATCCGTACAAGTGTCTGCCTGCACCCTCAAGTTAAATTTAACACTTAAAAGGTAAGTAATTTAAGAGAGTGTTCAGACTTGGCAGGCTTGGTTTCATTAAAAAAGACCCTGGTGCGATTGCTCAGTTAGTGCGGTTTGTTAGAGGAAGTGAGCACGCTGCCATCCAAACTCTGGTGTGCACCAAATACCCAGACCCCCTGAGCAGGTTGGTCTGGTGTGGTTCGTTTGAAGTATGAACACTAGACAGACCAAAGACATCCAAACACACCAAAGGCAGAATGAACCCCGGTACGCGAAAAAGACTTTCTGATGCTGTTTTGACACATCTGTGATTTATCATCGCTTCATAAGCACTGAATCGGTAATTATAGAACAAATAGTTTGAATTTAAAATGAAGTTGAGGCACATTTGAAGTCATTACAAGATACGCGATATACGTGTTTGACTACACACAAATTATTTTATGCATTAAGGTGTCAAGGTTTCTCCATTTTGTAAAAGCAGTAGCTCCACTCAAGGCTGTGTTAGAGACTTCACCCTGCTTTGCATCATGCAAAAATATAGTAACGCACGGAGTCTTGTGTACTTTAATACCACAAGACAGATAAAACAAGACAGAAATAAATACAATGAGCTCAGACAGAACAGTTTGTTTACATCTTTTGGTTTGATGTTAAACGTGTTAGTGTGAACGCTAAGCAAACCAGAACTAAGCTTCAACAATATATATTATTTTCTGTTATGATTCAGACCAAGGGAACCTGAGCAGCAGCAGATCAACTGTGGAAACTATTCTGAGGTTTCTTTCAGGGACATCAGACAAGCTATTTGAAATTGCTGTACATACTAAGTATGACACAAGGGCACAACACACAAGAACTTCTGCACTACAGGTTTGATACCACTTGGAATTATGACACAGCCTACAACTTATGTAACAGCAACTCAGTTTTCTTCTTTTGTAAGCAGATTTTATCAATAATAAAAGTGTATTTTCTTTATCACCTTAATCACCTGTACTTTTATGTTTATTTAAAAGCATACAAAAATAGAAAAAATAGAAAAACAAAACAAACAAACCAACTCACTCTTTCAATTTTGGACCAAGAGTGTTATGCATTTCAGTGTGCCACTTTACAATAAGATTACCACTTAAAAAGGTTTATGAATAGTTTAAAATGAGTTTATTACTGGTTATTAATAACAATAATAAATCATAATTAAGCAGGTATAACAAACTAAAGGGCAACAGTGACCTGTTGCTTGCCAAATAGTGAGACTACATTCATCTATACTGTTGAACCTCAGTTGTTTCTGGTTACTTATCTCACTTTGTCTTCCCCATCAGTCATTCATTAACCCATTGGAGTACCCATTTTGCTGCTCACAAGCATGTAATGTTAGTTTGATGTATGCATCTATGTATTATTTAATGTGTTTGATTTTCAATTTGTAAAATATAATTTAAAAGAAATTAAGACTTTTCACGGTCGCATTTATGAAAACAGGCCATACACTGTGCAAACGGCACACAAACATGACATAAATGCATAAATATACAAACACTGGTTTGTTTAGTTTCTCCCTGTTTGCAGATTGTGTACCTGTGCATCCATCTCTATAAGGTAGAGGAAAACCACATCCTCCCTTTCGACTTTGATGGCCTTGTGAAGGGGAAACTCTGTCTTGGACTTGATCATCTTGTACAGCAGCTGGGCACTCATAGTGCTGAAGTCCTCTTTCCTCAGGTCGTCCTGTGACAGAGCCAAGACAGTTAGAACTGATACTGAATCTACATAACATTAGTGACAAAATATCATATTCTAGTTGTATTCCTACATATTGTTACTATGACGTGCCTTGCAGTGTAAACACCCTGGTGAATACTTGATGCGATGTGGTTACGGACTGGCTTGCATTATTTTTACCAAAATGATGTGTGTTTATTAGAAATGTCAATGCCTTTAATCATCCAAGGACGACTCAAGTTCAAACCACATTTCAGACTTTTAACTGACTTGGAATTTAGACTAAAATCCTTTCGCTTTGAGTGACCCTACACCACGATTTTGTTTATTTTATTAATATTCATTAACATTTACATTTATTAACATTCAATTTTGACACAAACAAAATAATAACATTTAAGAATCTTTACCAAATGTTTCAGTACTGATGATTCTAGCAAGCTTAAAACACTAGCCAGTACATGACTAACACAACCTTTGAATAGTTTTACACACAAAAAATAAAAAAACTTTTGGATTTTTCACTAAAACACAAAAAGTTTACTTAATTGCAGAAAATGTGTGTTTTGTAAGTGACAATTATTAATGTTACACACTGATGTTCAGACTTTGGGGCCCATTTACTTCAAAACAAGGGGAACTAACTCCTCACCATGTGGTCATGTGGGATGGGAATGTAGTTTCACTTCCTGCTCTAAAATGCAAGGATAGGGATGTGGCTAAAATAAGGCTCCACCTATAAACTGAAAGTGTGTTTCAGTAGTGACACAAAAAAGTGTGACAGTATTTTTATATACATTTTTTTTTATTAAACTTAGGCTAAATCTTAATATTTGACCTTTACTTGAAAAGAGATAAAAAAGATCATTAATAAAAAAGAAAAGTTCAAACAAACTTTTATTTTGACAAATTGAAATTTAGGGGTTAGGGTTTTGGACAGCCAACTCCCAATAGAAAATTATGATTTTGTACATATTTACATATTACTCAATTAATGCCTTGGGTTTAAATAGATCATGACATACTCACTGCAAATGTCTAAAGTCTGAAAACATCATGTTCAGACTCATTTTCACATTTTGAAATATCAGCCTCGTAAAGCCGACATCATGATAATGACTGGCAAAATCTCTGTATGATACTATCATCATGCCAAACAGCATACAGTTTTCCAAATCCCAATGTCTGACTGATTGAAGTCTAGACCAACCAAGTGAGAGCTGCTGCAGAGAAAGAGACGCTCCCACTGTGCGTGCATCTGCAACACCAGCAGGCGTAGATAACGACTTCGTCCAGGTCTCAAATATCACCTTGAGGATCAGCAAGCTTGTCCCTTAGGGATTTATGGGGGGAAGGGAGGAATCATAAAAGAGGCCCTTAACATCAAGGACAGCTCTGCATTGGAGCCTGCATCCTGCTGCCAGAGGGGCAGCGGGAGGGAGAGGTACTGAGGGCCACTGACAAGGTAAAACAGAATAGAGCTCTGCCACACACAAACATATCTGGGTTTGGTTGGGCAAAAGACAATGACAGTGGGTGTGATAACCTAGAGAGTCCTGACTAATGGAAGAAATTAAAGGCATGCATTTTGAACATCTTCCAGAAAGGTAAAGTATAATGATTTCCCACCATGATGATCATGTTACACCATTCATGATAAAATCTAGCCAGTAAACAGAAGAATATATACTGTATTTACCAAGCTTTACAGGGTAAATCATACTGTGTAAATCTCAGGTAATATGGTATGATTTACTTCGCAAATCCTGGGTTGTCCATCGATTTACAAAGTAAACGATCCTGTTTTTTTTTGTTTTTATTTTTTTGAGTAAATAATGTGCAAATCTAGGGTTTCATCATTTACTGTGTATAAATGCAAAGAATCTGTGTAAATCCTGGGTGATACGGTATGACTTGGGCTACGTTCACATTACAAGTCTCAAATCAGATTTGTTGCTCAGATCCGATCTCTCTGACATAATGGTTCACACTCGTTTAGGTAAGTGACTCAAATCATGTCATTAATGTGAACAAACCGGAGTCCTGTAACAACCCACATGCACGCAGCCTTTTTCACCGTTTACAGGGTTTAACTTCTGTCCGGCGCTGCTGCCATGGTAATGCTAAATGAAGGCGCAAGCGCAGTGGAAAAAAAAAGGACTTCTGACCAAATTCCGACCTGAACATTCTCATTAAGTTCACACGACTACGAATGGGACACTCATCTGATCTAGGACCACATATGAAAGTGGCTCAGGTTGGATTTGAAAAGATCAGACTAGCGTGTCCGCACAACCCTGAAAACATCAGATCTGAGTCACATTAGGGCAAAAAAACAACCTGATAATGTGAACACAGCCTTACCTTGTAAGTCCTTTGTAATATGATATACCGCATAAACCGGACATTCCTTTGTAAATCTTGTGTGACATGGTGAGTTACACTGTGTTAAAGGAATAGATGGGTGAAAAAAAATCGAATTTACACAATTTCCCACTTACCCCAGGCATCCAAACTTCGCTTTAGTTTAGGCTAACACTCTAACAAACACTAGAAGTCAATAGTCCTTCAAATCTTTTCCTTTAATACAGCTTCAAAACTTCTCTCAATGTGCTCAAACTGCATCCAAGACTTCATTAAATTTGCACAGACTTGTCCATGTTGTTTAATACATTGTATGATTCACTCTGAGCCAGAGGAGAACCCTCAGGGCCTTTTAGTGATTCTAACGATTATGGGAACTGAAAAATGTGTGTCTATAATTTTAAGTTCATTTTTAGTCATTATAATCAGTCTTGTATTTAAACTCTGCAAGTATTACTCTTGTTTCATTGTAAAGTTCTGGATGGAAACAAAAGCATTAAATTCTTGAAATGCCAAGAAGTGGAAAACTAGCCAATCAGGAATTGGTAAGGTAGAGGAAAACCTCGACTTTGATGGCCTTGTTTCATCTTCACAAGGCCATCAAAGTCGAGGTTTTCCTATATTTCCTTAGCTATCAGCATAATTATGAAGTGACAGAGGAATCAACCAATCACGTTTTGATTTCCAGTAGGCCAGGAAAAATTTTGAGAGAAAACTCTAAGCCACTCTAAGCCTTCAAGAAGACCTAGATATGTCACTGACCATGTATACAAGTGGCAGCCTAATCAAAGGGTTGTTAGAAATGGAAACCAGTGGCTGCAGCTCTTCACCAGAGCTCACAGCTGAAAAAGCTGTGAAACTGCTACAAGGCAAAACATGCTAATATATCTGTTACAAGCATGAAATGTCTTTTTGAAGCTTCAAATGTCTGTGTTTACCCTTGATTGGCTGAAAAATGTTCGTGTGAACCGTCGCTGGCTTAACACTAACAAACTAACTAGTCCTCTAGAAGCACTAGCAGTAATTATTATCATCATAACAGTGTTTTTTTCTCATGTTTTGACAGAGTCTTGACATATATGGCTCGAGCTAAAGGCCCAGCTTGAATAATCATGGTTCACCACTGCTGCAAGCTATAAAAATGAACAAAACTTCACCATGTAGACAAACGCAGTGAGCAGCCATTTTAAACAAGGCGCTGTACAGAATCGAAACTCCCCTTCACGCTCACACAGACATATAGACTCTAGATTATGTTCACGATCTCTGTTGTTTCTTTTTATAAACACGTTTTTGAGATTAACAGTTTTATGAAAAAAAGTTTGTGACGTGTGTGTGTGTGTGTGTGTGTGTGTGTGTGTGTGTCTGCGTGCAAAGAGGAGCCCTAATCTAGCATAACAACTGCTGTCTAAAATGGGTGTTAGCTGCATTCACTCACACAGTGGAGTTCTGTTCACTTTTATAGTTCACAGCAAGTCATACAGTGTCCTCACCCACATCAAGAAGTCTAAATGACCTTAATAAAAACTTGAATGCGGTTTGAGCAGCAGCAGACGTTTTGGAAATGTACTTACAAGACTAATGAGATGTGGGTGATTGTTGACTTGCTGTGTTTGTTAGCAACATTAGCCTTCTATCTCCTGCACTAAGCCAAAAAAGCAAAATTTGGACACCAAACATGTCTTGGCTGATCAACCACACCTGGGGTAAGTGGAAAATTGTGTAACCGTGATTTTCACCAAACCCTTGCTTGCACCAGGATTTCTAAAATAAATCATCTGTACAGGCTTTGCCGAGAAAAGACGTAAACATGTACCACAGTGTTCTTCATTGTGCAGCCTAGGGTTCACTAGTAGCCCCCAGAGGGTAACATGGCAGCCTGGGAGTAAGCTGCCCTACAGCCACACAGATCTCTGTTATTCAAAATAGTAGCAGGCCTTGTACGCTGTCATTATTAAAACAATGTTTGTCTCTCAAAAAAGTCGCAATATAAGTTCATCACTACGTGGAACCATTTCAGTTATAGCCTAGAGGTAAGCTAGATGCACAGCCTACAAACAAAGAAATCTGTAGACATCCAACTATAAATATAAAATGCACAAAATTAAAGCATCACAATTATCTCTGCCAATCCAAAACTGCTGTCCCCAAACCCAGCGTTCTTTTGGTCCTGTAAATGTAGTGCATGACACTGATGCATCAGATAGGCAGCCAGAGACAAGCAGCAATCTTCCCATGAAGAATGCTAATGATGACTGGAGGCTAAAGAGCCGGTGTTAATGACTCACAGCAGCCTGACTCACCCAGTGGCTGGCGATGATCTCACCACAGTAATTCATCAGCGTGGTGGCGTCCAGCTCCTCGGCCGTCTGGTAAAATCTGATACAATTCCTCACGTTCACTGAGGACATCACTCCTTTCTCACACCTACAAACGTAAAGAAAACAAGCTCTTAAAAGCTCAGACAAATGTCTGTGATGGTCATCTTTAAAACAAAGTAATATAAGAAAAGAGACTTTCTTTTCTGTTTAGAAATAAGTTCTTATATTCACCAAAAAACAGCATTTGACTGTAAGCTTAAGGGACTGTTTATTACATCTGAGTTATTAAAACACTATATCCACACTGGCCTCTGTGTGCTGAAGGTTGTCCACAGATGCACTAACTGCTACCACACTACAGCAGTTGGTGCTCACTCTGGCAAAGCTTTAGCTGAGACACTGCCCATATTTCCATTAGGGATGTGCATTTTCATTAATATTTGAGTATGAAAAACAGTTAATGAACAGATACTGGATTAACCACGGGGCAGAAAAAAATAACAAAAATCAACAGAGCATAATAATATCACTAAAAAAAACTATTTTCCCACTGCAATTGTGTTGTGTGTTTGTATTTGACAGAAGTACTGTACAGAAAATACTGAACAAAAAATATGGAATGTGCAGCAACAACAACTGTGATACAGCCTATATACAGTCATATGCAAAAGTTTGAACATTCTAGGTCAAATTATGTTTTACTGATTTCCTAAGTGAAAATAAGTTAACATATCCTCTACAAAAGACACACTTAAATATGCCAATTTTCACCACATTTAAGAGTGCAATTTCCATTTATTTGATGAATTTAGCATATTTGTAATTTGCTAATATGTTAAATTCAGCAAATACACAGTAAATGCACAGACATGTGTTCTCTGTAAAAGATGTGTACTTATTTCAACATAGAAAATCAATAAAATATGTAATTTGCGTTACTATAGTTACTAATCATAACACCAAGTCTCCAAACTGGTTCAAAGAGATGGTAAGTTTTCATTTTGGGACGGCTGACAATATTTTTGGAACGGTTCTGAAAAAGTTTGTCTGGAGCCCTGTTCTGTAAACATTTGCACTCAAACACATCTATAGCAGGAGCTGCCAGTAATCTGTAAAAATGTAAAATGGCAACATAAAACATACATAAGATTTTTTTTTTCAAAGTGAAAATCATCATCATCATCATCATCATCATCATCTAAGCCACTTATTCTCCTGGGTGCTGGAGACTATCCCAGCACTCACTCAGCAACAGGGAGGAAGCACTCTGGACAGATCGCCAGTCCATCACAGAGCAGACACACATACATACACATTGCAGAGTGAAAATAAACTACTTAAAAGTCAATATTTGTACATTTACAGTAAATGGCATTCCCCAACACAATTAAAAAAAAATCAGAGGCAAAGCACCTGGAACAAAGCGGAAGCCAATGAAAGTACCATCTTTTAATTAGGCAAAAGACGAAACTGTAACTGACCCTCTTCTAAGCAAGCACCGTTAGCTTGCTGTAGGCTAGGCAGAACTCTGTACAAGTGAACGTTTGTATATTAAACACTGAATTACAATGCACGGCTTGCAAACGCCCATCATAGTGATAAAACTTGCACTGGCGTTGAAAAATGAGACCGTTCACTTGGCATGTGCCCTCTTGAGAGTGCAGCTCTCTTTAGATTGATTAGATTTCATGCACTGATTCATAGCTCTCTCACAGAATGCCAATGCTGATTCACCATGCTCACACAAAACAGGGCCCTAACACCCATAAGCCACAAAACAGACAGAGCAAGAACCTGCAGCCTGTAAGCCACCCACCCATTCACACTAAAACTCCCACACAGCACCCAGTGTGTGCCCACCTCTCTCGTAGCAGGTGGAGCTGGAAGCGATTGGCCAGCTTCATCAGGTCGATGAGAAAAGTGTCGTCTTCGCTCAGCTCCAGTTCGTCCGTGTAAGCCCAGTGCAGCATCGCCATGGCAACCTCCGGCTTGGCCTCTGCGCACCATGCCATCATTATAGCAGAAGGAAGAGCAGATGAAAGAAGGTATAGAGAACAAATAATCAGATATTTAAAGAGAGATGTGCTCCATGGTGTTGATTAACCAATGCAGTTCTATAGTTTAAAACTGAATAAGACAGACAGATAAAGAAGCGACATTCTTTCTGTATCTCTGCAGCTGATATGCAATTTGTTGATAAATCAGAAAGCCTAGTTATTATACATAAATAGACCACCATAAATAAAACCAACATTACATTAAATACATAAACGCTTCCACAAATTATGTCTGTAGCTCTGTCACATCGCCAAAAAAGTTCGGACAGTAGAAAAAATGTCAATAAAAGTAATGATTTGCAAAAACTTTTTAAACTGTATTCAGTTGAAAACAGTACAAAGATATTTAATGTTCTGACTAAATAACGTTTTGTATATGCGCTCTAATTTTGATGCCTGAAACATGTTACAAAAAAGTTGGGACAGGGGCATGTTTACCACTGTGTTACATCACCTTTCCTTTTAACAGCATTCAGTAATCATTTGGGAACTGAGGACAGCAATTGCTGTGAATAGTTCTGAAATTTTTGTTGATATAACACGCCAGCTGCACAACTATGGGGTCTCTGTTGTTACATACTGCGCTTCATAATGTGCCACAACATTTTCAACCCTAGACAGGTCTGGACTGCAGGCAGGAAAGTCTAGCACCTGCACTCTCTCACTACGAAGCCACACTGTTGTAACACGTGCCGAATGAGGTTTGGCATTGTCTTTTTGAAACGAGCAGCACCCTAAAAAAAAGATGTTGTCCAGATGGCAACATACATTGCTCCAAAATGTGTATGTACGCCATAGGATTTATGGTACCACATCATTTAATTGTCTTACAATTATTTTCCACAGGTGAAGCCAAAGAAAGAACCATCAAGGTAAAGTAAAAGACAAAACTGCAACTGTAATAAGGACTTTTTTCCGTCAAGGTACATTACAGCAGACTCCATGTTCTCTCACCTGACAGGTCCAGCTCAGAGGTTGAGGCCAGGTTGGCCAGACTCCAGCTGTCACTGCGGGCTGCAAGCACAAACTTATGAGCGCTCAGCCTCTGCTGTCCGATTTTCACCTTCAAGTCACTGCAACACAGAACCGCAGCTCATACTTAGATATTCAGACAAAAAGTAGCAAGTGAATAGTAAGCAGCTGTGATTATTAGTGAACAAAGTCGATTAGTTGACAACAATGCAAAAAAAACATGGCAGTGAATCATTTACTTAAAAACAAAATTCTGACAAACTGTAATAAACATTGTGCCTTTCTACTGTTTTGTTGTCGCCATAAAATACAGAATTGCTTATTCTACAGACTGAACTTTGAATGATAGCAGTGCTGTGACAACACATAAAAGGCATCATGTTCGATTAGTCACTTACATTCACACTTACATTTATGACATTCAAGTTCTCATCCAGAGTGACATCCATTTTAGTCGTTACAGAGGTAGGCGAATGTAATGTTAGGGGTTTTGCCCAAGGACTCTTACTGGTATTCAATTAATTGAATAATAGTTGATAGATTAATCAATGAATGGTGCAGTGTTCATTATAAACTGACTGTGCATCAAAACCAGTACCTAAGGTGCCGTCTGCAGTGATACTGTATGCCTTCACTGATTTGATTAGTCAAAACAGCCTGGTGGACATATTAACATCAAAACCGTCCTGCCCTCAGGGATTAAAGCTAAAATAAACATGTCAAACACATCAGGAGCTTTTTTAATATCTCCCATGTAGAATGCACCCCACAGTCACTCTCAGTCAAGTTCATGAATATTAGTCCTTTTCCTTGACTTCTCATCAATTCTCCATTCTTCTTATACAGCAGGGTAATACATGTATCATAAAATTGTGGCTTCTGGTTAAATCATAAAATAACATATCATAACATAACATCATAAAATAATCCTTGTAAATATCTAAAGTCTAAATATTTACTGTGGGACCACAGTTTGAATCAATTCTTTAAAATGGTCCATATCTAGTTGGAGGACTATGGCAATATGTTATGGCCAATTTATACCAGATGTGTTTTTGTAGTGTCTTATTTGTCTATCTGACGGAACCAGCACAGCTGCGTTGTGATCAGTGTTTCAATCCGCACCGGCTGGTTTAAAAAACAAAGAGCATCACGCACAAAAAAAACATCACACCCTCTTTAGGAGAATTTCCTGTTATTTTGTTGTGAGGACCCACACATGAATCGACACGGCAAAAAGAGGTTACAACACACATAAATGAGTTTTGGCTACCAAAAACACCAGATCTCCCTTGTTATCTCGTGATACAAACAAAGCCAGACTGGACTGGACCTGGTTCTGCTTTAATGCACGCACAAGAAGTATAGCGAAAACAAACTGAGGATGAATATGGGATTGAAACGCAGTCAGAGCTGGAAAAATATTTTGCTACCAACTGGCTGCCGACTGCTGAAATCGTACAGAGAGCGAGTGTTTGCCTGAACTTTACAAGAAGCACCTTTGTCTCAGTGGTCCGCTGCTTATGTGCTCTGAAAATATCAGAGCTTGATCAGATGGCTAAAGATTGACTTGTTCCTTCTCTTACACTAACAGATCATCACCATCAATTATTTCCTATCGAGCTGGAAAATATCCTCAAATCACTGCATACTTCATAAATAAAAAAGATTTATCCTAAAGAAAGATTAAACAAACAGTACTGTCATACCGCCAGATGAAAATTAGATATAAAGCATCTAATGGAAGAAGACTGTAACGTTCTCACTCTCATACTGACCATTAGCATTCAAATAGCTTTTGATGCTTTATAAGGGCAGCGCTTTGCATCAGGGACACTGTATGTCCTTGTTTATTTACTCTGTTATGTCCAACACAGAACCATCTCCTATTCATCCTACACCTTACATCTTATTACTACAGCTCCCTGCACATACCTGTACTGGTCTTGCTGGTAGAGGTCAGCCACGATGGCCAGCAGGCGGCTGATGAAGGAGTCGCTGGGCTGGGAGGATGAACCGTGGCCAGATGCTTGAGCAGCCAGCATGGAGCACCTCCTCTCTGTCTCCACCAGCTTCTGCTGCATCTTCACGTACTCCTGCCGAAGCAGGGACAGGTGCTTCTGCAGCTTCTGCACCTCCTCTGCGGAGCAGAAGGAGTGGAGAAGAGGAAAACGGTTAACAATCAGTGAGGACAGCTTGAAAGTATGTACATGACAAAAAGTAAGTGATAAATAGGTATAAAAAATGGTAAAGGGAACAATGCCAGAAATAGAAAGAGATAAAAAAAGAAAGGAAGGGCATAGATGAAAATCGCTGATACAGCAGCCTCTTTGGAAAGAACTTCTTAAACAAGAATACTAGACTTCCAGAGTACCTACGCGGCAATTAATCATCGAAATGTTGGGAGTGATTTGAGTTCTCAAACATGATTGAGACACAAAAACGCCAACAGCGCACACCTTCGGCTCCGGGGTGTTTCACAAAGCAGGATTTCTCACCAAGCTGGATATTTGAAATGACAGTTTAATGAAAAATCAAAATCACACAATTTTTCCATTCCTTCAAAAGTAGTCAATCAGCCGAGGCATACTTGTTGGCTGAAGTTTTCTTCATTAGTTTTGCATTGGAGCTATGAGGCTAATGTAGCTAACAAGTAATGAAACTGCATGTCTAAATCATCACATACGGGCCTCAAAACATACAGACCTATTTAGTTTCTGAAACTCTTTGTTTTCTGTGAACATTTTAATAGTACAGTCCCAGTTCAGGCATTAGGACAGTTGCTACCACTGTTTTTATTTATGCAACATTCTTCAGCCCATTTGTTCAGACAACACTTAGCCTACAGTTGGAGGGGGGCGGTGTGCAAATTACATTTTTTACCAAACTACCACTAACAGTGAGGACTTTTTTATTCATTTATTTATTTTTCATTATGTATTGTTTCAAGCTTTTTGCCTTTATTACAGCTTACAATCTGTTTAACACATCTGCTTTAAGTTTTACAAAGAAATCTGCACAGACATTTTTCCACACCTCCGCAAGTTCAGTCTTAGAAGTTGGTTAAACTTTCTGTTCTCACCATCCAAGTCATTCTATATATATTCAATGATGTTGAGGTCTGGACTCTGGGATGGTCAGACCATTGTTCTGAGAACACCAGCAGTTTCTTTGTTTGATTTGCAAATTTTCTCAGTAACAGCTTCTTGACAGCTGCACATCCTCTCAGACTGTCAGACTTGTCTTCTCACAGTGGAAGGACAGAGAGAGTGACCTGTGGATTTTTTCAGATCTGAAGCACGAGTGGTTGATTTTCTCTATTAAAGATGAAAGCTTTTAGTACTGTTTATTGATGGGGACAGTGTTGATGATCTACTAGGTCTTACATGGTCGTTAGGAGACCCATTTTCTCCATGTCTGTTACTCATTTTTAAACTCCAGTTTGCAAAGTCTTGTTGTTTTTCCACTGTCCTTTAAAAAGTGGATATCATATATCTAATTTCCTCAGAGATAGGCTTATCTCCTGAAAATGAATATTTTGTGCTTTATAGCCGTTTGGTTTAGAAATGAAAAAATGAAGGGTGGTCTCTGACTTCTGCAGAGTACTGTATATAAACCCTTACTTAGCTTTCCTTAATAAAAAGCTGAGAATTTCTTTTCAGGAATTGTCTGTACTTGTGTTTGAGAAACTCTTAAAAAGCATGGCGCAACATTCGCGTCCTGAATGTGATTACTTCCCTCAAGAAGACCTGGGATTTGACCACTTAGTGCAAATTCTGCAACTCCTGCAACTCCTGCTTCCTTCCTCTTTTCTGTCAGTTCATCCATCTGTGTGTGTGTGGCATTCCCCAGAACGCTGAGGAAACACTGTGCCTTTGCCCTGCCTTGACTGGGGGATTGGGGGAGCTTATGCTGATTGGTTCACAAAGCTACTCCTAACCACCTGACTTGGCCTTAAGAGCACGATAAACGCTCCAAACCCAGCAACCCGGACCTCAGCATTAGGCAAACGCAGAACACAAAACACTATTACTTTCTGTAAGCCTAATTACAGTGTAATAGACCCCCCACCCCCCATTCTCAGTAATCCATTAAAACTATGTGTACGAACCAAAGACAGGCCTGTTGTACTTTATTCGAGCTAGGCTTTTACCTGTCTTTTAAACAGCAAGCAATGGAGTCAGCAGCTTTGTTCCTTGGGAGGTCAATAGGCGCCATAAAGCATTTTAAAGGCACAACAGCATGCAAACGCCTGCAAGGCACAATACCCTGATTATGCAATCAACACACTTTCAGAAGAGCCTAGATATCCTGATTAACAGACAATAGAGGAAAAACTTTCATTTGTCAGTGTAGAAGATTGAAAGCTTAACTTCAAGCAAGGAGACCAATTTCATTTGACTATATATGAATGTTTTTTGCATGTTTTTCATTTATCATACAGATCCAAAGTAAAAGCAAGTTAAATTGTTTCAAAATAAAGATAAACAGGTTGTGAAGTCTGAGTGCCAACACACAGTTAGAGATCTGATAAAGGCAACAGTAACAACTGCCTGGCCCAATAGATAAGAGAACGGGTGCCTCAACTGTAATAAAAATCTACACTAAGCAACTAAGCCACTTTTGTACTGTTAAAAGAGGAATTCTATCAACGTTTCTCATTTTCTGCATAATTACACTGTTAGGATGTAAAAAGCTCTGTTTCAGAGAGTCAGAATTGTTCATAGTGGAGGTGATAGGAACCAGATGTCTGAAGAGTTTAACGTCTCTGAAAGCTACCTCATAGAAAGACACGACATTAAGTGGTTTCAAATATATTGCCTGTGGTCTGAGACATAGATTTACAACTGTACTGCCATTATATACACATACACACATGATTTACTTTCTAAATCCATCAGCCTTTTCTAAAAAAAAAAAAAGGCCTTGGAGAACCACTTCTATAAGGGTGTACTACACTAATGAGTGCATTAGTGAGACATTATTACATTATGAGACATTTAGTATGGCAGTAGTCAGTTTTGGACACTGCCATAGACTTATTCTGTTCATACAAGGCTAGTCCAAGCCTAACCCTAGATTCAAGAGAATTTTCAATGAAGCCACAGGTAATTCAACACAGCCCAACACTAGGCTTCAACCATGTCCACAGGCCTGGTCCATACATAAAGGCTGCGTCCTAAACCTAAAATGTGATTCTAAAACACTTAATAAGGCAAAATCCACCTAAATGAAACCTTATTTTTTCAGCTACTTTACCTACTTTATCAGCTAAGAAGATGTGTAGATTGACCGGTTCATTTTGGATAGTAAGTAAAATGGCTATATTTGCATTGCAGACAGTAAAGGGGAATTCCACCCATTTTTCAAAATTTCTAAATAATTCAGCCCTTGCAATGTAAACAGAGTCTTTCAGAGTGTTTCACTGTAGAAAAAGTAAGATGTTTTTACAGTGGTGGTGATAGGAACCAGGGGTCACCACAAACACTTTCATTTTATTTACTATCCAAAACCAATAGTGAATCTATACATGTCTTCTTAGTTTTTATATATAATGTTGATGATGGTAAAATAGTCATAAATCTGACAGTTTTCTGTGGGGACTATTTCGCCTTACAACAACACCCTGTTTGTACCCCTTTGTCATGAATGAATTTTAAAAAATGGATTCAAAAACATTTCAAGCCTAAACTAAAATATGTGTTAGACAGCAGGCAGCATATATCTAACTATTTCATGAAATCATGTTCTATGAAGGACATTCCAGGGGAAGTTTTCAGATGTCTGGTTTCTATCACCACTGTGAACAATTCTGACTCGGCATATTTCTCTAGAACGGAGCATTTCAAATCAAAACACTCTAAATGACTGCTTACATCTCAACCATTTAATTACGTCAATTTTTTTTGGAAAAATCGGTGGAGTTCCCCTTTAAAACCCCTGGTTCCTATCACCACCCTTGTAAAGAAATCTAAGTTGTTTCGTCTCTCTACAATGCACCATTTCACATCAAACCACCCTGAATGACTTCTGTTTACATCTCAGTGATTGAATTATGCAGCAATTCTGAAAAACTGGTGGAATTCCTCTTTAATGCATGCAACAGTGGCAACCGACTTGCCACCACACTCTGGTCATATGATCACAGCATGAACGCCAATGCACAAGAGCTGCCATCCCTGGGTTTTAATTGCGAGTTTGAAGTCTCCTCGTTTCTTAAACGAGTCTAAAATCAATGCTGCCAATATAAATGAAAAGCAGACCAACTGCCTCACACAAAACAACGTTACACTGAATAAACAGATGAAGAGTGAAGACCGTTAGGTTCGCTGAAACACGTTTACTGTAACCCAGTTTAACGGTCAGCTGCGAGGCCACTACAGCGGCTCAGCAGGACGAAGCTAAAGTCAACTCTTTAATCGAATTTACCCGTTCCACCTTAAACGGTGCAGCAGTTACATTCTGGCGCCTCGGGCCTTATGCGCCAGAATGTAACTGCTGCACCATTTAAGGTGGAACGGGTAAATTCGAACAAGAAGCTGGCGAATATGAAGCTAACTTAAGCCTCGTACCTAGTGCTCGAACAAATACGCCAGCTACACGTGTTAAACTTCGCAAAAATCCCGAGGAAATGTTTAATTCTGTATTTTTGTCTGCCCACACAGCAACCGGCGTTTTTCTTTACTCCAACCGCCGCCCAGCCCACCTTCACTCACTCACTACTGTTAGCTATGCAGGAATCAAAAATAAGGCGCAATATCAAGACATTCAGAGCGACAATAAGCATGTTTCTCATTTCACTCCGTGCCTTAAGATAATATATGAACAGATACGACTTTCCATTTGTGCCGACAAGCTATTATCCCCACATCTAAAAGAGAAAGGGCGTGAAAATAGGCAAGAAATCATTTTCATACCTTCCGCCATGTTGGATCCGTGGCTGGTCGTTTTCTCTCGCGAGAACACGGAGTAAACGGGAGGATGGGCTCAAGAGGAGAGTAAACAAATTAGCATATACACCGATAAGCCATACCATTAAGTACACCATCTTGTTTCCACGCTCATTGCCCATTTTATCAGCTCTATTTACCACATAGGTGCACTTTGTAGATCTACAATTACAGACTGTAGTCCTTCTGTTTCTCTGCATACTTTGTTAGCCCCCTTTCACCCTGTTCTTCAATGGTCAGGACCCCCACAGGACCACCACAGAGCAGGTTTTATTTGGGTGACGGATTCTCAGCACTGCAGTGCTGCTGGTGTGTTACTGTGTGTTGTGCTGGAATGAGTGGATCAGGCACAGCAGTGCTGCTGGAGTTTTTAAACACCTCAGGCCAACAGCTTCCTGTGGGCAGTGTCCTGTGACCACTGAAGAAGGACTAAAAGATGACCAACGCAAACTGCAGAAACAGATGATCCACCACCCAAATAATACCTGCTCTGGTTCTTGTCAAAAAAATACATGCATAATCTGATGTTCTTGAAAGTTTTCACTGCAAATGTTTAGATATTTGACTACACTGAGTCTGAATATGCCTTTTTTGAAAGATCTTGAAAACTAAAAAAGTTTTAAAGTTAAAAAAATGCAGATAGTAAGATATTCAGACTGCACTGTACTGTGACTGTACAAAATGTAGCACCTCAGATTGGCACAACAGTGAAAACTCAGGTCAAGGAAATGCAGGAAAAACCCCAATTTGTTTTAACCTGAACCTTTTATGACCAAGATTTTTTATAACCTGAATTTTTAAGACCTGAATTTTAAAGAGGCAAATTCAGACTCAGTATACTCAAATATCTGAAATTCACAGTGAAAATGATCAAGAGGATCAAATTATGCATGTATTTTTTCAAGAATCATGAAATCAGGTTCAGATTGTAGTGACACTGATTTAACTCCATATATATAGAAAAATCTTTACTAAAGAAGCCTTGAAGAACTACTTTATAAGGGTATACTACACTAATTAGCATACTGCTATTGGTGGTGTACCATTCCTGACATGTTATTTAGTATCATAGTATTTTTGGACACAGCCATTGATTTGAGCCTTACCCCAGAATAGATAATGGATTTTCAATAGTGACCATTGGTAATACTACTTATCCCAATCACAGGCCTCATCCATGTCTATGAGCCCGGTCCATGAAAGTTGAGGGAATAGTTTGGGGGAATAAAATGGTCGCTGTATGTTTAAGTGTATTAGTACAATTGATATACATTATGTATGAGTTACCACTAATTCCTTTTTACCACTAAAGAGGTGGGCAACCTCAAAACATTTTGAACATTTTGCCTATATGACTTTTGAGGCCTACTGCGAATGTCATTCAGTGATTAACAGCTAACAGGTAGATTTGGCTGCAGGCACCCGTTATGTGAACACTGCTGGGACTGATAATTGAAGGCGAACTCAGATTTTTCTCAGCATAATTAAATTATGCTGAACTGTTCACAGCTGTATTAATGGAACCAGATATCTGAAGTGTTTAATGCCTCTAAAAGCTCCCTCACAAGAAGCTATTAGACGAAATGGCTCTGAATACATTTCCTGATGCCTGAGGCAATGTTTAATGATAAATCTGAGAGAAGGTATTGGGCTAAAATGTATTTGTGGAGATCGATTCAAGGCGGAGAGGTACAAGCAGGGCAATATAAGGCAAATGTACCCAAAGAAAACATACTTTTCAGATTTAGAACTATTTTAGCATTATCAACATTGCACATAAAAAACACTTTTAGGGTCCCTGCTCACTTTGAATGGTAAATAAAATGGATATATCACCACTACTGTAAACAAATCAGTAGGTGACTTTCTCTGCAACAAACCACTTTACATCAAACCACTCAGAATGAATGTTTACTTCTCAATGATGGAATTATGAAAAAAAAAAATTCAGTGGAATTCATCTTTAACACTGATATGTTGATTTTTGTACAGTGCTGTCTTAAGCACCATAACACATTGTTTTAACCCTTGTGTGGTGTTGGGTCTGTGGGACACATTTTCAATGTTTACCAAAAGAAAAAACATGCGATTTATTATTTTTTACCCCAGATTCCTTGGCCTTTGCTCATTTTCTGTGAGGAACATATAACACATTTTCACTGATTTCACACTGAACACCCTCTATACATTTATATTACCCATGTGGTGTTTGGGTGAACCTGCAGGGAATAAAAGTGTGGAGGTTCTGTGTCCCTTCACTCTGTTCTCCTCCTATATGGCCTGCTGTTGGTGTGTATGTGCTTGTATGTGTGTGTGAGAGGGTGGACAACAAGGACAGGCTGCTGACTGGCTACAACTGCTAAAGGAGAACCCTACGCTGGCCACTTGTGATACCACACATTTGGTATGGCCACATTCATATCATTAAAATCATTACTTGTGTTAATGTTATTCACATTTATGCTAATAAGTGTTTTAAATCCTTATAGCCCAGAAATATAGCTTCTTAAATCAAATTTCTCAGCTGCCTAAAACTTCTGTACAGGGCTGTGTATTTCCACAATACAATGGAACTACAAACTACACTGCATAAAAAAAGTACTTGCTGCCCTTGTAAGCACCTCTGTAGTCTTTGTGTTATATCTGATACAAGCAAGAATAAACCCTTGACTTGTTTGCTTGCATCATAACCTGAGAAGTAAGACAACACACCCGAACAAGTATTGGAAAAAAATTATATTTTAGAAGAACTCACTAGAGAAGGTGACAATTTCCATAACATGAAAAATATACATCAGTATTTTGTCTTTGTACATTAGGCAAGAGAAACTGCAGTAGTCTGTCAGAGCCAGAATAAAATTAAACGGAGAATAAAGGACTGTGGGGAGTAGGATAGCGAATCACACGCGCACACACTCACTCTCTGTAGCATCCAAACGCACACGCACACCTTTCAAACGAAATCCCAGAAACTGCTTGTGAGAAACCTACAGTTAAAGCATGCTTAACGAATCCTATCAAAGACACCACACAAAAGAAAAGAAAGCCCTGCAAAAGAATTTGCTTAAATGGTGGGAGACGTTTATGTTAAAAGTTTGACTGTCCCTATTTCATCTCTGAATATTGAAATTCAACACGTCGGGGGAGGAGGGGGCGCGTATGGCTAGGGTACACTACATACAGAGGTGAGGCAAAGGGGGCGTTATTGCTACACCAAATTATCAATATCTTTAATAATCCAATAATGCTGGTACAAAGGGTTATAAAAGAAAAAAAAAAACAAACACACATCCACACAAGCTTGAAGGGGTGCAGAGCAAGCGATCTCTCAACATCTCACCCTTTTAGCTCCCAATTCGACACGGGAGGTGCAACAAGCCAAGCAATTTCAATCAGAGGCACTTTTGAAAAGAAAGAGAAATTAAAATCTATGAGCTCAAACATGCAGGTTTGTCACATCTGACGGGCTTCTTCGACGCCCTTTCCGCCTTTGAAAACTCACTGCAGGAGTCCAGCACGTCCTCATGTTCCTCTAGAGCCCAAAGCAAGGACTCTCCATGATCCGCCCCAAGCCCCTGGAGTTAAAACCAAGCCAACGAAATATGCTCATGACGGCAGCTGGAAAAATGATCTTTTTTTTCGTGCTTTACAGGAGTTTTGCCTCAAATGTCCTCTCAGTGAAAAGTTGTCCAACATGACATGCATGCTATAGCAATTCTGACAACAGTAGCACCAACGACCCCCCCCCAACCCCCCCTCCCTGCCCTTGCACCCTTCCTCAAAAACTAGTCCACTTTCTGAAGAAGAAAACGCACCTTTATGGCATTTATTGTGTTTCTTGGGCAATGGGAATCTAGGAAAAGTAAAAAAGAAAACCAAAAAAGCCCATGTTTCCATTCTACAAACCTCGTCTCTCGATGTGACCTGTAACCGAACTGATGCACACTAGATGAGAGGCTGCTGGGGGTTTGGGTGGGAAAGGGAAAATGAACTATATTCTTTAAGATCTTTACAGGACTCTAACTACAGAAAGCACTATTTTTTTGGTACTAAGTGTCTCGCTGGATGGATAGGAACAGTTTTATATATTATCCGGTTTTTATGTCTGCTATTTACAGGTCTTTACAATTTCTTTCCTGAAAGTTGTATCAGTTCATAGACTTGCGTAAAAATGCGTAATATGTTATGGTTTTTCTCTTTTCTTTTTTTTTCTTTGTTTTTTTTCGTTTCGTTTTTTCCCCAACGTTGTTTTGATGTTGGCACTTGCTTGGCATGTTCTGTCCATATCTGTACGAGCTGTTATTGTTCTATTGCAGCCTACTAATGCCAGCTTGTTACTGCCAACGTTCAATCAAGACGAGTCCGGCAATAGGGTGGTAGAGTGCAGGAAAACAGTGCCATGTTGTTTCTCGACCGGAGACCTGTTGGAGACAAGAATGTGCAAATTAGCCTCCAAAAAATTAAAAATTTAATACAAAATGCAGAATCACAATACTAGAAATAAATGCTAATTCTGTCAATTCCACTGCTGCTTTGAACTAACTAACTAAAACACTGATATCACCCCCCACTGTTTGGTATGCTCAAATGCAATGTTTTGAAAAGACCCAGGAGACAAGGCGATGTGACTGGATACTGGCAAAGATTAACATGTAGTGTTGCGTCAAAGACCATAATAAAGGTGTTGGAAACCGTCAGAAAACAAGACAGGACTCATTTAAACAGTTTGCTCAATATTATTAAATAATATGCACATAATGTTTTGTTTAAGGTTGGCCAAAACAGCATTTTATAGGCTCTATTTCCAGTAGGCAGTAACAATATATAAGTAGTCAGACTGAATCCCAGCTGCTTGTGTATCATATGTTGTTGCAGAAGCCACGATTGTAGGTCTCTCACTCAAATACAACTTAAATGAGTCACGTAGACACAATAGGTGTGACCAGAACGAGGACCACCCTAGAAGTGGCTTGGCAGGTACCCCTCCTGGTACTGATGCTGGA